CGTACTTGTAGAACGCTTGCACGCGCTTACACGCCGCGTGCCAAAACCAAGTGAAAGCTTCTGGGCTAGCCCATGCTACACTGCTAGTTGTGCCAGCTACTGGTGCGGTGTTGTATCTATTCACTAAAGAAGTTGAAACGTCCGTTGAGAAGAATAAAGCCACTCTCAAAGAGCTTCAGGCTCAAGAAGGAGAGAACTGCTCAAAGGTTTTTCCAGTGTGGGAACTGCCGGTGTAGTGGACGGCATTAGTTTAACAGCAAGCCCCAACCTGGTTTGGTGGCTGAGCACTCTTGACTTGGTTATCTTAATTTTCTATCTAAAGTAATACAACATCTCTCTATATGTATTGTATTAGTTCTTTTACAGTTAACTAGCGCTTAAAGTTCCACTTGAGTTCCGTTGTAGTGTCTGTGCACTACAGCCAGAGTTGCAGTGTTGGCGCCGGCAGCCCTAAACTGTGGGCCGAGCTACAGCGCGTCCAGGCCTGTTGATCCTCCATAAGATGTGATTCTTCGTTTTGTTTACTTCTGTTTGCTCAATAATTGCTCGCATTGTGGATTATATGACATCTGTGGGGTGTCCCAGTGCAGCATTGTAGTGCTACGTCTTACAGTGGCAGCCCTGCTACTGCAAGCAACGGGGCCATTGAAGTTATCCATTTCTTCATAACGGGGACCCCGCAGCCTGGAGTCACATCGAGTTCAATATATACGCTGCAGGAACAACAGTCCAGCATTTGGGGTTGCGGGGTTCCTGCTTGGTTGTCGTTGGTCATCCTGGACCGGACGGTCAGCGTGTCTTGAACCGCAGGCTTTCTTTCNTTCCTGCTTGGTTGTCGTTGGTCATCCTGGACCGGACGGTCAGCGTGTCTTGAACCGCAGGCTTTCTTTCTTGCTGCAGATGAAGTTGTATTTGTAGAATAGAAACCTGGACGCCCACGTTGGTCGCTAACCTGGGCTCCATCCATCCGCAAGGAAACACGGTGCCATGCTTTCCCACTGAGCTACTAAGTGAACACCGATAATGGGGAGAGGGGACTTCCCCAACCTAATGCGACAACAGATTCGTGCCGCGATCGAGTGTTACAGGTCAACTAGCCTCTACCATAGGAACCTAGGATTCTTTTTCGTTGGCATTTTAGGGGGGACTATTTGGGGGTCATACAAGAGAAAGGCGAATGATGCAACGAATGCGGACTGTGCGGCAGTTCACCTGACGTTCTACAACCTCCCAGCTGCACTTTCACAACAGCAGCAAGGTCGCCAGGCCTCATCTCGGGATCAGACTGATCGTCAGTTATTCTTGCAACGGAAACGCACATTTGAAAGCCTTTGGGAAGAAGCAGCAAGGCTGCTTCAAAAACAGCCGGGATACACATATACGCAGATGTTCCGCTCGTTACCCCCGGACGAGGAAACCCAAAGTACAGGCCTAAGTAATGCGGCAGATGCAGAACTAGAACGTCACGGATGTGCCCGCAAGGGCGTTGGTGCGGGTATTGAAGCACCAGCTGAATCTGACGGTACCAACCAAGACCAGCGAGCGGTTGACTATGTTGAGTTGCGGGTGTGGGAAAACGAAGAGTCGCGTAAGAAGGCGGACGTGCTACAGATGCCCTTCATGCAAAAAATGCAAGACCTAGGTGTTAAATTGGAAACGGGCCTTTACAGGCGTGTGTTTGACGACGCACTTATCCGCCTTATCCAGTAAGCAGTGTATTCTAGATCACCTCAGGTAGGTGATACTTGGAGTATGCATATATATATATATATATATATATATATATATATATATATATATATATATATATATATATATANAGAGCTCATTCACACGTTTTGTCGCTTCCTACAACTGTACACGGAACCTACTGACCAAGAACCCTTTGGTTTTGTTCAGGGAGAGAATTGACGATTAATATGTTGAGGGTGGTTCGCCCATCGCTGGCGCATCGCATACTACAACTCTGTAGTAGTGTCGCTTCGGACGTCTGTAGTCGTTGGCAAACTGTAGTCTAGAAAAGTTCAGTATCTCCAAAACTTGACACGACTCCTACAGTTCTGCCGAGTGCCTACGCAGTACGGGAGAGGTGTTCAGGGTGGGGCCGATGCTGTAGCCTAGGGAGGAGAAAGCTTCTCATATTGAGTATACGGCGGTTGAACTACCAGCTATATGAGTTCTACGTGCGTTCTAGACGCAAGTTGCGCTGCTGTTGCCGTCGAGCCGGCCGCGCACTGCGTCTGACCACTTCGATCGACCCACTGGGGGTAGTTGACGGCGGTGACGAGTTGTGTGTTGTATGTTTGAGGGGCATCTCCCTTTTAAATAACAAATTCTAGAACATTTATGTGCGACAGCGGATGAGCCTGCAGTTTCAGCGTAACGTAGCCGTCAGACCACGACTGGTTGGTAGAGTGTCTAACACATGCATGGGCTCGTTCAGAGTGGATACTCCTCCTATGTGTGGATAAAGTATGCAAATAAGCAGTGTATTTTAATTTAAGCCATTTTCGGGCTTTTTCCGACCAAATACGAGTGACGAAAGTGGGCCTCCTCAATCCCCCCCCACCGCCGACAGCACCGAACAGCGAGCGCACCGTAGTCTCCGTGGCCTCCGCCTAAGCTTCGCCCTGCTGTTTTGCAAGCGAATTATTCACTAAAAAAGATTTTCTCGATTGCTGGAAGTTTTATACTGGCTGGCTTAACTTTCTGCTCTGCCATGCCGGCGAATGACGTGTGAGTGGTCTCGTGAGCTCGAAGTTCCCCGTGCAGCTGAAACCACTGGTTTTTTCCCGCATTGTACGTTAAACATTTGAATCGCTGAACTTATTTACGAGGACTTTTGAACATATAGTGAATCTAAGTTTCTATGGTAACTGTATTGGTGCGTGTTTGCCCGATCAATGCGCGTCTTCGCGACTCGCCAGCCCGTGCCTTCCGCTGAACACCAGCAGTCCAAGAGGGAACCAAAGGCATTTTCCGAGAATTTCCGAGCAAGCCGGGGGCGAGGTGTCCCCGTGCCGATGGAGCTAGAGTCTTTGACTAGTTCTCTCTGCAACTGTGAAGGAGGGCTCTCTCCGACTCGCAGTGTTCCCGCTGAAACCGTGCGTGAAAGCCTTCTCGACGAAGTCATTTGAAATGAAGCGACAGCACAGAAATTCTTTGTCCCTGTGGCTACCACTGCTAGCTCAGGTCCTCCTTGTCATTGCCGTTTCCGTCCCAGCGTCCATATATGCAGATCAAGGGGCACTCCGCAGGGCAAAAAGTAAACAGGAGCCATTCCTGGCTCCTGATCACTTTACTCCATTCACAGGAGAACCTGACACAAATGTGCAGGCTTCTAGGCCTGCTATTCACACGCTTACGAGTGAGTTTGGTTTCGTGGAAATTTTCAAGAAATTATTTGGAGGGAAAGGCGAGGAACAGGAGGAAGCGCCCACAACATCGGAGCAACGAAAGAGTGCCTGGCAGGAGGAAGAAAGGCATGCTGAGTTCGCATTTTGCTCTGACGTGGGGTTCAGAGGCCTTCACCCAGAGGAAGGTGGTGAAGAAGCGTGAGCGTTTTAGCAATGCCAAATGTATCTAATCCTGCGACTACAATTACCCTAGCCTGTAAGCTTAAATGGAGGACAGTTCTTATGTTTGGGTGCGAATGCATGCTTGCTTTCTGTTTGCTCTCAGCGCATGTTGGAGTCGATGCGGCCGTGTTTGCGAAGGAGCAATGTTTCTTGCTGAGGATGGTATGATCTAAAAGCCTTCCTGATTGTTCCATATACAGCTTTTAGCATCATTTTTAGCATTTTTAGCATCTGGCGATGTCTAGCTGCAGTTCGAGCGTCACGGCGGTCATCTCATTCGTGACTGGGATATCTTTGTGGTGCCCTTGGCCGTAGACGCCTTTTCACGAAACTGCACGGCTACAGTCGTGCCATTTTTATTGACGGATGTATGTGGATGCAGCACTGCCGGAGTGGAGACTTGTTCCCGTCGCGACAAGGACAAAGCCCTGCAAAACGCCTGCTAAAAAATCTGCAGTTCAGGTAAGTGATCGAATTTTTGAGGGGATGCATAATTCCAGCCAAATATGTTGCGTGTTTCCTGTCAATGCTTTTCCGGTCAATTAAGCGAATATGCCTAGCTAGATGTAATTGCAGATCGACTTCCCCTATTGTATCGGTAAATGAGGACTTTTTTGAGTGCTTTTTGCAACGGTCTCTGCAGATTTTGTGCAAGGCTATCAAGAAACCGACGCAGTACGACATCAGCAGTGCTGTAAAACAGGAGACAACTTTTGACGTTGAGGCGCAACAGCAAGAACAAATGCAGCAGCTGTCAAAGCAACAAATGCTGCTGCAGCACCAACCACCTTCAACACACGCCTTCGCAGCAGCTTCCCCTGGGTACCTTCCGGAAGAAGCTCAACTGGCGCCTCAGACTTTTGCAGCTGCAGCGTATGGACGAGGACGAAGCGCTCTCCCACAGTGGGCTCTTTACCTCATCATCACGGGGGTTGCTCTGCTGTGTGGTCTTATCCTCTGCTGCTGTTTATGCTTCTGCCGGCGCTAACAATTCCACTTGTATGCGGATGGGGAAGGAACGCCAGCCAAAAAAATAAATATCTTTCCTGCTAGCGAAGACGAAAATCCTGCTAGCGCAAACGAAAGACCCACCGATGGAGCTCAGCTTCAGCTGCACGACTCTGTGCCGCTGAAGCTCTGTGAGCAAAATCAATTGTATTTTTACCGGTCTAACCTGATGCAATAGCACGTCAATCGTATGATGCTATTGACTGGGAACTCAGGGGCCGCTACCTAATTGTTTGTCACTTCGTATGACACGGCTCTTTTTCCAATGTCTGCGAGACATGGCCGTTTTCGGGGGGGTTTTGCCCCAAGTAAAGGTGTGGAGTTTTTTTTTGCGTACAGAGGTGCTATAGCGCATATCCTGTACAAAATTACCACAACCACTGCCTAAAAAAGGCTACGGCAAGTACTACTTTTTAAGCAGGTCTCTCACAGGCCTCGTACGCGTCCACAAGGACTGCCGTTGCTAACCCTCTAGGCACCTCGCCGTTTCATAGCAATGGTATTATTACCTGATAACCTATCTGTTTGTCAGTTTCACTGTGACGGCAAGTGAAGTTCTGTGCGCTGGCTCTTGACGTTGGAACGGGCAGGACCATTAAGGCGTTGTCCAGAGGGGAAAAGTGGGAGCCCGATGCATCGATAAGTTTTACAGATCTCATAGGTTTCAATACAAAGGGGTGTTCAGTGCTTTATTTCGCGTTTATGCCATTGCTCCCCTGTGGGGCCGGCATGACCACCACCGCTGGCTTGCNGGTCGTGGCCGTCTAGAGTCGTGCACGGTCCAAATGGACAGCGGCTCGAGGAGGCCGCGGTCCATTCGCGGCCGCACGGTCTCCGCCCAAAAGTGGGGGATAATTCGACTGATAGAACATGTATTTCCATACATAAAGGCTCATCTGGCAGGAAAATATTGCTATTTATATGGTTTCAGGTGAAATAACGGGCTGTGTGCTGTGCCTATGCGACTTGCCCACCCGCATTGGCGACGGCTTCATCTGATCTCAGGTAGGTAGCTGTCTTGGATTCCACGAAGCCGCTCCAGATGACCAGGTTGCACTCTCTAAAGTTTAGAGGTAAACTTACTTTTGCAAGAACTACTATACCACGCTTCCACGACAAGCCGGCCTCTTCAGAACCTTCAGGCAGCGCAGCTCGCCATCTCGCTGCTGCCCCCGACCGATGTGTTGCCTGGAACTTCCACACCAAGTCCAAGATATCCTGGCTTCTACTTAACTAGACGAATTGCTGCTGTTCCGTAATCTCAAGGCTCAGACACCGGAGGCACCATGGCCGATCGGGATGCTCAGTCTCCCGAGTTGAAGGCCAGCGAGGCTTCCGCGAGGGAGAGCCAGCCTTTGCTCCCTAGGAAAGCCAAAACCTCAACTACGTATAAGCAATTTTGTTGTTGTTCTCTCGGAACATCTGTGACCATCTGGGCGGTCTTTCTCCTGGCATTCTCCACGTATGTCCTCTTTGATCCCAATGTCTCCGGTGCAGCATACACAGCTGGTGGGGTAGTAGGGATCATCACTGCAAGTCTTCTACTCTCTGCTATTGGAAAGCAAAACGCTTTCCCTGCCTTCGTTGCAGTTTACACTCAAATCGCTTTGAACATCATTTGGGCTTTGCAGCTTGGCCTCACCATTTACCTCTATTGGAGAATCCAGCAAAATACTCATGGCAGATCAATCTACACAATCGCTACAGCTGGATGGCGGCAGCATGGAGGCTTTGGGCGGCTGCCTGCAGCCCGCTTCTTAATTGTTGACCTACCACTGAGCGTCGTTCTGTGCGCTCGCATTGCCTTGCTGGGGACGCTCCTACTCGTTTCTCATCCCAACCTACGGGTCCTGTGGAGTTTTTATCGGGTTCTGCAAGCTGGAGGCACAACCTTCGAGTATAAAAGTGCAGAAGAAATCGAGGAACAGGTTCTTCAATCGCAGCTCCCCGGCCTGCCGTCCGCCACGCCCACGCCGCGGCCTTGGGGCCCTTCGCTTCAAGGGAGTTCTCGCTCGAGAGAGTTCGCTCCCTCTTGGCAAGCATGAAGTGCACAAAGGCCTCTGCATAAGGGCTGTATGATGGCTCCCCACAACAGACGACGCTGAAGCTCACGGGGCAAAAAGGTGAGTGTGCTTACGCTCGAATGCATTTACGCAGCGGCACTCATATTTGCCCAAGGGATGTATAATTTTTTTCCAGGTTTCAAATTTGATATTGCTATAGCAGTGCAGCAATTGCAGTACACTGCTTTTCTGCTGGTAACCCCCCCGAACCTTCCAAAGATGAAGTACTTCATCCTTTTGTTCAAGGGGGCTAGAGCTGCATCTTTAGAACCTATGTCGGTATTTTACTGGACTGATGAAAACCAACTAGACATTGCTCCACCCTTTGTGTCATTTGTTTCGCGCTANGCAGGCTCACCCACAAACCGTACACCCGAAAACCTCATTCATGCACCGCAGGAGCTCTTCTCCCAGCCTGTACGCTTCGAAAGCAAAAGAAAACTGTCCCTTGCTCTACTGTGCCACCTGTTCTCCACCTCAAGGCGAGTAGCCGAGCGAAGCGCGTGGCTGTTAGTCTCAAGATGGAGTAGCACGCATGCCACTACAACGGCATATTTCCTGAGCTTTCAGAAATAGGAATCCACCGCCAGATTATCCGGGAGTTCTGATTTATCCATTGCTTGCACTTCCCCAATTTCGTGCTCGTTTCTGCTGCGGATCGCTGGCTCGGCTACTGTCGAAAGGCTTTACGGGGGGCCAATCCGGCCAACGGAATGCTCCCATCATCAACGCGTCTCGCGGCACATTTAAGGCGAAATTCCTCTAACAAGGCAAATAAGAAAACACCACAAGTGGCCTCCATGTATAGATGGCGGCATAGCACCTCCGTCATCAACTTAGTTGGCTCCTCGCGTACGGGGTTTGCTTTAGACCCTGCCTCCCCCTGTTTGCTACTGGCCATGCGGCCCTAGTCCACTGTATGTACTACACTAGACGCATAGGAAGAGCGAAAGCGGAGCTTACCGCCCTCAAGGAGTAGGTGGTGAGCGCAATTAGCTCCGGGCAATCGCGCCTCTTCTCCTTGGCGTCATAAACCGTCCTGAGAACCCAGACATACACATAAGCAGCCTACTAATCAGTTCAAGCATCTCAAGGTCCCGAGCCTGAAAATAAGAGAAGGTTGGGCTTCCGGGACGGGAACAGAGCTGCGCATACACCCAAAGTCGATGGGCCAACTGCCCTGCCGGAAAAGCATCCTCATCTTCAAATGCCTCGTCCAGAGCAACGCAAAATCCTAAAGAAGTGAACTGCTGCTCGCGAAGAACAGCTGGGATTTTGAACTCGTTTACCTGAAGAAGGGCAACGACAGATGCACTGAGTAAACTTACNAGAAGGTACGAGCATGCGCACTCTTGAACCAACCATAGTAAACTATTTACCAGTACACCTGCAAGTCGCTATGCGAAACACCGTCATCCGGAGGCACATCCTGCGTGTGACTTGCCCCCTCTTGAATGAGGATATTTGTCAGAAAGTCCCAAAGCGCATCCCACAACTTAATCTTGAGCGTTTCCAAACCCTGCATACGCACAACCCTCTTCACCAGCGCCAGCTGTTGCCTGAAGCGCAACGGGGACCATCAAGGCGAAGAATTGTGCTGCGGAACTGAACAGGTGGTTCGACAGATGGACAGGATTCTGCTTACAGCTTTCTGGAGGGCGCAGTGAAGAGACCACAGGTGTACAAGCAAAAAGTAGATTCGACTGTTGAAATCTGTCTCCCCTATTCCAAAGCCTGCAGCAAACAGCTCACCAGCAGCGCTTTGTTGTTGCTGTCGAATGCAATTTTAACAAGGCATTCACTACATTAGGCAGTGAGGCAAGCACACGCCCTGAAACGGTAGAAGGCGAACTCACACTTCGCAGTAAGCACTGTATCTTCGTAACGCGGAAGAATTGTGCGGAAAAGTCGACGCCCACTCTCTTCCAGCCCCCTTGGTGACAAAACGTAACTGCGGAATCCACTGGCAACAACCAACTGCATTTTACTGGGACGCATGCTTAGGCAAGTTTGGCAGACCGGCAGGCAGGCCACAAGGAGAGCAACGACGCAAGGATGCCATTGCCTCACCTCCAGAAATTACGAACTCGCTGCAACAACGAAAGTTGCAAAACTTTCTCTCGTTCTCTTTGAGTAAGCAGGCAGTCGGCTACCTCCTTCGCTGTCAATGAACTCCAGGAAGAAGCGATTATCTGGAAGCCACCAAGGAACAAACTGTTGGGAATGCACACAAATGCCCCCAATGTACACTGGGAAATGCACTGTACAGTGGCACGCCTTACCCGTTCGTGACACAATTTTAGCCGTGCTTCCTCCTCCGGCGAAAAACAAAAGTCGATAAAGCGATTCTCGGTCTGAACGAGTACGCACAGCAGATTCGCCGTGCTCTGCCGCGTGAATTATCTCTTCGAAATCGTTGTCTATCTCCACAGTTTGCACGTATTGGCACTGTGCTGACTATCCACTCGGCAAAGCAGCTAATCTCGTAGAATCTACAGCACGGACGTCGCCAGGCATATTTAGACGCGAAACGCACCGTGCGCCAGATGAACTGACGGTCACCACCCTTCGGTTCTCCTGAACCTTTCGACTGGTCGCTACTGCACGCCTCCTGTTCTAAGGTAGATTCACTTCTGCTGCATGCGTTGTGGTACCTCGAAACACGGTCGATATTTCCATTGTAGGCTCCTACGTAGCGCATCGAGATAGCTGGAGATGCTTCGCACATAACAACGCGAAGGCTATTTGTTGGGGCAGCGGTTACTGGAGAAATGTTGGTGCTCCTCAGAGCGTAGGTGGAAATCCTGGTATACACGGTCGTAGTTCGCCCCACACGCCCTCCGAGTTGAGAGCTTCGTTCGGCATAAAAGCGAGGTCCCTTCCACATGGTGCCTGGAACTGTTGTAGAGAAAGGGGTTGGCTTCATAGGGGAAGCACCTCTACACTTTAGATGGGTCGGAGAAGGGCCATCGAGAGGCTATTCGGTCGGTGGGAGTGGGCAGCCACTGTGGATCTGAACGACCCAAGGAAAACAAGTCATGAAAATGGGCAGCTGTAAGTCGCGCTAGCATATATGCGATACGAACATGTGAAGATGAGCTGAGCCTCGCAAACAAGATGCATCTTCAAGCTAACTAACTGGATCCATACTGAGGCGATTCAAGACGTTAGCGACATCTAAAGTGCTCGCAGTTTTACACACCTCAGAAATTCCAACAATATGACTCAACGCTAAATGAGGAAGAAAATTCACAGTGACGCTCAGCGTGATGTGGTTAACTACGCCTGGGATCGCATGCAGACCTGCAGCCCCTAAAGTAGAGACCTCACAGTCAGTATTGGGGATTAGATCGAAACTTAAACTACAATCTTTTTAATTCCAGTAATGCGGACATTTTAAGTGGAATAATCGGCCAACACTGCACCAGGAAGGTCGGATGGCAATCCAGGGTTAATTTATGGCGATCGACCTTCCGCACGGGATGGTATGCCTTCTCCCCGTACAGTAGGCCGCTTGTTAAATTGAAGGTCTGACGTGTCTTATTATATAGCAGCCACATCTGAAGGATACAGCTGCAGGCGGCGTTCAAATAGTGTCAAGCCCACTTGATTCTCGACGTGAGAGCCGGAACAACCCAAAGCTTCATCTTTGAAAGCAGATGCAGCCACCTCTTGGGGGCCCTCCTCAGCTGCAAGCTCCCCCTGCTCGGGACCCTGTAACAAAGCTGCAGATCTTGTTGGGGAACTTGCTCAAGCACTTCACGGTCAGCCGCCATCCTACCATTCGCGGTGTTGCCCTAATGGCCAGACGCCGTTTCACATCTGGATATTCACTTTGTGTGCTGTGATTGACGGAATTTCAGGATGTGGTGGTGCATTTGTCTGACGTTGCCCCGCCACGCTCCGTCTCTGGCGCGGTGGACGTCGACGGAGCTTCTGAAGCAGCGGAGGGCTCCAGCTCAGGTGTTCGGACAGCAATGACCGAGGAGCAGCTAAATGAGTTTATTCTCAGCTGCTCCAAGGGGGTCGGAAACCTTGTACATGTCATAGAAGAAGAAGCAGAGAAGCTTCCAGATGCCATCCAGTCACAGGTAGCGCGCATTCATCCCCCCCGCGCGCAGGGCTTGCACGAACCCGTAGAACACAATATTAGTAAGGGTGGGGCTGCAATAGTTCCACACAAAATCAGGCCGCCCTTGGCGAGAAGAAGACGCCTTACCACTAGACGACGAAGATATGCCAATGCGACGAGAAACGGCCCACCAAATGCTAACCTGAGCACTCGATATTTTTTTCTGCGCAGGAGGAAGTTGAGAGTGAGCTACGGTACCTGGAAAGAGAGAATGAAGTGGCTGCAGCGGAACTGAAGCAGCTCGTGGCATCCGTGCGCCTTGTGCGGGAAGCAATCAGGGAGGCATACAGGGATGCTGCCACCGACGGCACTCGCATCACTATAGACTAGAACTTGCATGGACGGTCGGTCTCCCTATGAACTGGACCTCTGTGCGATATTTGCCAGTTGCACGTGAAGGCTCCTCTTAATACTACAATGCTTTCTGCTGTGAAACACTAGGGACTCCTGCAGGTACCTAGGAGTCCCCTTATCCAATTTTTTTTCGTTAAACCTTCAGTTCAGTTTCACTGGGAAAGCGGCATTTTCACCCGGCCGTAACTGCATCTATCGTGGCCGTCTGCCCGTCTGCAGTCGCTTGTTGCCCTGGTATGCTGTGGATGTCGCATATGGTCGTTCAAACCACAGCGCCCGGACGATAACAATTGCTCGATGGAAAATTCAGGGCATTCCCGCCATAAACAACGGTTTCCTACCATCCTTCCAGCCACCCTGGGGCCAGTAGTTGCTGTTGCTGTTGTCTTCCTACTGCATAATTTGCGATGCTCACAGAAGACTGATCGTACCCTTGACCGTGTTCTTGTTTATGCTCATTGGTGTTTGTTGGAGGGGGGATGGGCTGTCGTGCTTCTTGGGTGGCACCAAACCCACGTGCACATTCTTCACTTGTGCGCGAAGTCTCTCGGCGACATTGGGTATCTAAAACAAAAGACAATCTGTCACCTTTGCGCCGCATCGTCCAGGAGAGCCCTACTGCTGCTTCCCTTCCAGTTTTTTCCCCGCATGCGCGAATTCGTTTGTTGTTATTGTTATCACTCGCGGATGAGCCTTGATAGCTTTTCTCAGATGCTGCCTGTTGCAGACGCCCACTCAGGCATGCAGGTCCGTCAGTAGCAGAAATGTTATTGCCTTCCCCTGCACCCCGATCCCGAATGATCCGCTTTATCGCTGGCATCTCTCCTGGAGAAGGATATCGTATAGGAGGAAGCTCGAATGTGTGCCGACCCAAATAACCCTGAGTAAAGTCGCTGAGAAGACGCTGCGCGGCAGCTCCTTCGTTGGAGTGATGCCTCTCTTCTGCCAACTGAAGGAAAAACGGCAACAGCGGGCCAAACTTCAACATTATAATTACTGCAATATCTTCTTTTTCATCCAGCATGCCTTTAAAGTTAGTTTTCCCACACAGTAGCAGGGGAGAATAGAGTATTTCTACTAACACACCGTCCATCCCTCTCCCTCCCACCCCACTCACCGTCAGCAGCAGTTGCACTCCCATATTCAATTCGTCTTTGAAGGCCTCCCTGTTCATTTTGTATCGAGTCATCACTCTGTCTAAGTCGCTGGCTGCTGGCAACAACTTTCTGATGCGGAAGAAGGCGTTTCCCAGAGCCACAGCCGCTTCTTCTATCGTGAACAGGCAACTGTGAGGCAACATGTGAAATGCCCCGAGAAGCGCTAGCTCGTCAGGGGATGGACACGGATGCGTAAAGTCGAAGAATATACCTAAATCGAGCTGTCCCTGCCGCGCGCCTGTGCCAAGGTGCTGCTGCAGTTGGTGCTGTTGTGAAAAATTCAGCCGCCGTTTGCGCTTACCTTTGCCGGGATGCACGGGAATAAATCCCGGAGTGTCTATCACATCAAAAAGCCGTGACATATCCCCCCGTCGAGCCAAGGAAACAGGCTGTCTGTGCAACTGCGAAGCACATGCAAGTCGCATACTGTCAATCAGTTTCTATTCGTCTCTTCAACAGATTGGGTACTCCTTCCAGTGCTGTAAAGGGGGCCTTGACTTGTTCTAAGCAGCAGCCACAGTCTTTGAGTGTCTCACGTTGACAGACTGCGTGGTGCCTGGCCATCGGTAACTGCGAGCAACTTTCCTCCCCACAAGGCAGTTGGCAAGCTTGCTCTTTCCCACATTGGGGACCCCAACAATAAGAATGCGGAGGGGCTTCTTCTGCTGGAGTGAAGCCTTCGTGAGTACCTCCCCAGCATGTGCTGCTTCGTCAGTTGCTCCTTTGAAGGCAGCAACGAGTTGAGCAACTTGGCCAGATGGCGAAGATGCTTCTTCTCCCTCTAGTTGAGCAGCAGTTGCTGCTTTCTTACAAAGGGAACGAAACGCATCCAGCTCCTTCCGGTAGCGACGATGTCTCTTGACCAGACTACGCAAAAGCCGTTGTACTCGTACAATTGCTGCAGGTTCCCGAGCGTCAATAAACAGATACGGCAGCCGTGGAGCCAATGGACAGACATCCGACAATGCACGCAGTAGTCCTGTTGAGATCACAAGGCCTCGTAAACAATTCAGAACATTACAACTGTCTAGTATCCTACACAGGAATACCGTGCATCGTGCTGCAGCTCGGTGCGGAGTGTGGAGGTGGAGGCAGGCAGAGATCATGAAACGTTGCTGTAGTTACCTGAGGTTCTCACTTGTTTACGGGCTCTCGTGAGCTCCGCGTGCAGCTCCAATGCCGCTGCTTCTCGACTCTCACGTCGGAAGTGCCGCTGCCATTGGCGAGTTGCTAGTGGGCTAGCCTGCGCAAGTGGGGTGCAGAGTGCACAAGACGCTCTACAGCTCTCCCCGAGTCTGATTTTATGTGTATATATATGCAATAACGCATCTATACAGAGCGAATCAGACTTGCGGAGGATATTTTTACCGCGGATGCCACCCAGTAACTCTTTTCCTTCGCAAGCGAGCATTCATCCGGCGCAACGTAGCAGACGCATTAACGAACACAACCGGAAATAAACTATACCAACGCGAAAGAGGGCAGACTGGTGAAGCGGGTACTGAAGATCGACTGCGAAATGCCGGTTGAAGTGAAAAAAAAAAAANAAAAAAAAAAAACGCCACTACAAGAAAGCAAACACGTACTTGGTCTGCGTGAGTTAGGATAACGACCCTGGGCTTTGGAAGTTGCAGAACGCGCAAGTTGCACCTGGACAACAGCGGCAGTCGAGCATCTCTGACCTCAACAATGGCATCGCACCGTGAAGCTGCTTGCACCAGGGGGACCAGCGACCGCCTAGCGAAGGTAGGGAACCTGAATGGAGTGTAGGAAAACTGAGTAAAAAACACCAATGTAGGCAAGGCAGAATATGACGGGAAAAAGTTCCTGTAAATAGAAATCAATAGTGTCTATGGATAAAAACGAATGGAACGCATGCGATGTCGTACCATTGTGTCCGCCATCGCCTTATGGGCACTTCATCAACGAGGGGATCTTTCAGTTGCATTAAGCGAAACAGCTGTGCCTCCTCAGCAGAGTCATGCCTCTCCGCTGCTTCTTCCATTGTTGCCTTTGCTGGCGGCAGCAGCCCGCGCATTCTGTTCTTTCGGCTGGAACACAGGAATCGAATGTTTCGCCTGCGGATACGAAGTAGCCGCTGGGTATGCATTCCGTCCGCCGTGAACACACGAGCTAGCGGCGAACGTTCTCGCCCCCGCTTGGTTTCAGCATGTCTGGTTGCTGATGATGGGAGAGATGCGCGTAGGATTGTTCCCGTAGCAGCTTCTCCAGTACAAAGATGGTCCTCTAGTCCTCCTTCGTCGAGTACCCACTCACCAGGAGCAATTCGGGAATGACTCGGTCTGTAGTATGATTGTGCAGGGGCACATGGAGGTTTGACAGCCCATGGATATCCTGACGGAGCTTGCAAGCCCTGTAGGATGAAGCCCAAGAGATGAGGCCTCCCTAGTAGTTGCATGCTAAGAGCCCACTTAACTCGCAGGTTGGATGAGGGAAACGAGGCTTGGGCCCGCACAACGACTAGAATGAAGCCCAACACAGATACTGATACTAGCAGACAGCGAAGTATGGGTAGGCGTTGCAGATGGCGCTGGTGCAGCAGGCAAGACGGAACCTGCACGATCATTGGAAGAGGAATTCGCGCAGCAGGGCGACATCATGGACCGCGTGTGGCTAGAGCAGGTTAATAATAATGCAACAAAAGTAGAACTTTCCCGCAGAAAATAGATAACATCCAGAAACGAGGGCGCAAAACAACTATCAATGTTAGGGCGGGTTGGTCCAAGCCCGTGTGGTGGCATGAGCAAAGATACGCTGTACACTGTACTTCGCGGTTAAATGTCTACCGCCAGCAACTGAGTTTCACTTAATTGTGAAGTTAATGCCTTAAGTCAAAGATACTTCGTAATATTGTTTAGGGTCTTGTATGGTACGTGTGGACCCTAGCCGGGTGGGGCCGTGGCCCTGTCAAGCCATACTTGCGAATTTTTTGCAGATGCAGTGCACATTTTCTAGTTCTAGAGACCCAGTTTGTATATTTGGGGGGGTTCCCGTTGGTAATATCATGACACTAAGAGAACGGAGTGTATGCCGACACCGGGCATGAGTGCGATTGTCGATGTGAATCAAACTCTATTTCCTTCTCAAGTTCGGAGGCAAAAAGACACGAGCAACCTATTAAAGGTGAGTCCTCTACTCAAGGCGATGCGTCATTCGCGTCGATAAGTCACCGGTCCCTGCATTGCGCTTGGTTTAGCACTGGCTGCAACAATGAGCATCGAATCCTCTCCGCCAAGTGGGTCCAACGCTACACATGGGCGATAAACGCATGAATTCAGGCATGAAAGGGATAATGACAGCCATATTTCCACGCAGTTCAACTCACTGACTACGCCCTTCCAATTTATATCTATGGACGCCTGTGGCAGCGCTGAGCTAAGGGCAGCTGCAAACCGTTTCCAATACGGGGAAGCTCTTCATGACCACTAGAATATATGGAACATGAAACGTAGGATCGCGTGCTTCCCCTGTTTAGAGGCTGTCTTGACATAGGGGAAGACTCAGGCCTCCCTGAATTCTCGTGTGCAGCAAAGCACGAAGACGTGCTGCCAGTCTTCTCTTCGTTTTTCAAGCTTTGGATCCGCCTCTGCAAGGAACTAAGAGCTACGCTGCTGTGAATGGCGACGCCATGCAGTATGGGCAGAACGCGACAATGTTGAAAGTGTACGTCGCTGCTGCTGCTGTTGTTGCTTCTGGTGCGGTGGCGGCGGCCTCTGCAGGGCATCCTCCTCCTAACAGCCACCACCAGCACATACCCTGCTAGTGCATATTGTGGAAAAAGGCTATGTCGCTGCTGTTCAGCCAATCTACAGCACCCCGCCCATGCCCTCTCCCACCGCCACAAAAGCGCAGCTAGTACGGTCAAATCACCCTACGCGAAATAACGAAGTCGGCTGTTCGGGTATCCCCTACGCGCCTCATGCAAGTGGTGGTGCTCAGTTCGTATCGCTGTTGTAGGTGCAAGGAATCTGAAATACAGGAAAACTGTAAGATTTGAGGATTGCTGGATCAGGATGGCCCCAACACTAGGGGAAAATTCCAATTGGTGCCTTCCTCAAGCCCTAGTATGTCTCACTGATGGGCTAAACACCAAAGCTGGCAGTGTGCACAGATCTGTCAGATAATTCACGAAACACGGGCTCGGAAACGGAAGTATGACTGCCGCAATGGAAATCTACGAGACTACTGGTGGAGAAACTGCCTGCGGAAGAAGATCGAGGCGTGTCAACTGTTGGAATAAGCATGCGACGGATGTCCGTTGCGTCGTCCAGATCACTGAGTTCCCAGGCAATCATTTCGCTCTGTTCAGAGGCCTGCGTCAGTGAAGTCTGTAATTTGGGGTGAGCTGGAGATATGACGAATTCTGCATCGTTCTCGTAGAAGCCGTTGGGGTTTGCAGCAGGATCAGATGCGAAACGCACCTTCCGCCCTTCGACTCCTGAACCACGACTTGGCTGCACACCAGACGACAAGCCAGCCTGCTGAGTGGCGCTGCAACCCTTCTCCGTCTTTTTTTGCTGTGCCTCCGCTCTATCCAGCTCCAGCCACCAAGCAGGTTGCGCCTCCTCCATGGGCGGCTCCTGAAAAACAAACACGGATTTACAGGGGATTCTACGTGATCCACATACCTCGTTGGAAGTACCCAGGCGCTTGCATGGAACCTCGTCTGTACGTTCCAGTGCATTTCGAGGATGGTGTTCGCTCACCGCACACACTCCTAGCCATCTAACTATCGCAAATGGGTCCATTTGCGGCGCTGAGTCGGAAGCGGAGCTCCTCGGGAAGTCACTGGGAATGTTATTGACGTGTCGACCATAGAAAATGGGACAGCATGAGCGGATGTGTCTCGTCCCGCTAGTGAATGTGCAATCTAGTATCCCCCAGAGCTTTTGCCCAAGCTTCGTTAGGAGGTTGGAACGGAGGTGGCATGAACAGGACGCAATCTGTTGAGTGCACGTCAGTAGCAGCAAAGAAATATAACACCGCTTTCTGCGTCACGGCAGTCGCAGCGAAGAAATTAAACACCGCCTTTAGCCTATTCAGTTCGAGCGCTCCGTACAGAGCGCCAGGTCATGAGCACCTTTCTACCAGCCTTATATCCTTTTTAGGAGAGTCTCACAGTCTCCATATGTGTTTTCTCGGATGTACCGAACACCCAAGCAATCATAACGATGCAAGAGATGCCGAGATAGCAAGAATAAGATAATGTGGACAGTCACTAGCATGAGCCCGCCGAGCTGCGGTAGCGTGCTTCGTTGATAATAAACCGTCCACCGCCACCCCGCACACACTCAAAACAACTTTGTGTGCTCTAATATGAACTTTCTCCCATCATGCAAGATGAAAAGAACGAAAAACAACGGAGCGACGTGCCATAAGCGGCGGCTCGGGCCACCGGAGACGCGACTTCCATGCGTTCAAGGCATTGACCCGCCTGTCTGCTTCGAATGTTAAAAAAACATCAAGTGGACGGATTCTGTAGTATGCTTATGACGCTCAACACAGCAGCCCCGCAAGGAAGGCTAACCGAGTGCAGCAGCGGTCCCGTTGGCAGAACTCGTGGGGCCCTGAGTCGCTGCAAGCAGATGTTGAAAAGGGGGGGAAATCGCCATCAGCCTGAGTCCCTACATTTACATTCATCAGAAAATGCATGATGATCATGCGAGTGAAGGTCTGGCAGTCACGGGGGCAGTCTCCCTGTACTACCCAGTGGACTGCGGCCTCCTGCGTACCCGTCACGTGCCAACGTGCTTTCAGAAATGTGGAAAGGGCTGCAAAGCAATAACAAGTGTGCTCTGGAATATCAGTATGCGCTTGAAAAAAACCTATCCGAAGTGCATTGTTGGACGGAGCGAGGCGCAATCTGGAAGTATTCTGTGCAAGCCCTAAAGACCCATAGGCAGACAGTCAAAATCATGCATCCGATGAAATCCCAGCATGATGGAGGCGAACGTCGGCTGCTATCCATCATCTGGATACCTCCAATCGAGCCTTATCTGTCGCTGTACCTTTAAAATGCAACAATGGTTGGCCATAGGCGCTTTCCATTTTGCGATATTGCTGTCGCAGGGGACCTGTGGAAGAATGAACGGGCTCATCCTGCTGGAAAGCACCGTGGACGTGGGGTAGAAAAGGTGGGTGGCCCGTTCGTCTCTCGTAGTTCACAAGCGGGCTGCTCGACGGTGTATAGCTGGTTTAACGCATAGACATGGACTGCGATGGATTATTGCAGCTTTTTGAATGGTCGTGACTGTAGAAGAAACCGAGAAACTGCTCCACTCACGACATTATAAAACTTATGTCGGAGAGTTGTGTTTTAACTACCATGCTTATCATTACGCTTGACGTTAATTGGCGGGATGTCTTCATGGGCTTCTATTGTTAACGACGACTTACAGCCATATCACGTTGGCAGCTTGCTGTACGAACTGAACCAGCCGTTGGGGTCCTGGGAAAGACGACTAAAGTATTTGCTTGAAGGGCTAGCAGCTTTTGCGGATGTCCATGTAATGTCAATCCGTAGTAGCAAATATTGTACTGTCTGCCAGTGTTTCTCCTGTCTGCGTTGAACTCGTACGAACCACTGCAGCAACAAAGTCGCAAGGCACCTATTTGTGCTGCTACCAACTCTGCCAGTTCCAGGCAAAGTGTCCACGCACGCCAGAACTTTGTATTCCTCTGGAGGTTGCATCCAATGAGGCTTGTTCGTCTTGCTGGGAAGAGGGAAAAGGCAAACGGAGTATTACAGTGTGGTATCTTATAAATATTGGCGCGTCTGCTGTTCCCCATCCAGTGGCAGGCACGGCACCTCGAATCTTAGCTGTCAGATATTTTGTCAATAGACAAATTATAGGTTTCAGCTTCCCAGCTAGTGTGGAGGGAGAGCATTGTCTTTCCCGCCGGAAAGAGGAGCGAGTACGTCAAGAGCTTTCCTTGGTAGTCTCCTTCCTGCAAGCGTAGAATGGTCCCACACACATGGGATCACAATCCACATACTACAATTTCGTCGCATCTAATATGCCGTGGCAGACTGCACTAGCGCTGTCCAGTGAACCACCTACATCGAAGGAACTCCAACAGGTGCAGCCAAGTGCTCCAATCAGTGCACAAAAATGTCAGTGAAGATGGATTTGTACGGGAGAATAGCATGTATATTACCCCCAAAGTGGGGCTAGCAACCTGTATGCGCACGCCTGGAAATTCCAGCAATAACGTGCGGCAAAATCTACGGATCACAACGCGCCGGATAATGTGTGGCAGCTCTTTAAGGAAATTTACTGTGTTGTAGGAATCCCCCACTAACGATCGTTGTTTCATATGGATTTTTGTGGCCAGACCTCTGAGTGCTTGGATGCAGATGTGTAGGCATGCGGTGGCGCAGAGTCTCGATTGTAGCGAGTGGTCGCTAGCTCGGAGAACTCGTGTCTCTGCAGATGTAGAGAGGCAAATTGAGCCCGATATCTGAATTGTACTAAACATTTCAACAAATATGAGGTATTTTACACCCGGCATGGCGTATGATGGTAGAATAGTAGAGCGTCATTCGACTTCACGCCGACCCATGATCGCGCTCGGCAGCGATCGCGTGAAGACAGCTAATGGACCATCTGCTCGCCATGCACCCCGATCTATCTCCAATGATGGCATTTTAAATCCTTCGCCCTTAGATTGAAATACCTTCAGCCAGAAACAACAGATGCGGCCCACCTGGATGCAAGGTGTCACCGCGATCGCCGCATTTCCTCGCGCCAACGACGGCAGATTGTCACGGTGCCCTCCTGGCGCGGCGCCATCAGAAAATTTCGGCCTTTTTCACTTTCTACCAGTAACACCTCAGTTGATTTTTACACAGGCAATTGTGAACCTCATAACTCAGGCTGCAAGCCCCTCATTCGCCCTGTAGTTGAAGTTGCTGCTCTCGGCAGCGGCAGCAGCGACACATACGACAGCGAATATTCCTCCTACTCCATGTTTCATCCTAGACCGCAAAGGGCGTTTTGATTCATTTCCTTTCACTTCATTGCAGTGGTTCCAACAATGATGATCCGGCCGACGATGGTTGCCACGCAGAATCGGTGCATAGATTCGCCAGTCTGGGGGCGCACCTACTCGCCTGTAGACTTCCCAGTGCCTAACCAAAGCCAAGCAGCATCAGCGGGCTTACCGACCGGTGCTAATGGGTTTATGCGGCTTAGACCAAGCAACTCAATGCCATGTGGGCTGCCCTGGTACGAGTTTAAGCAGGAGCCGCCGCCTCACTCCACGCCTCAACACGCGAGCCCAGAGGTCCTTCCTGCTTATATTCAGGATAGCTCTACACGAATGTGGAAGAGCGCGGGTAGCTTCTCCTCTCGACCTGGAGGAGCTCCGTGTTCGTATGGTGGATACACTTCATCCCGATCAAGCCTAGTTTCATACGTTCCCCCCAAAGACGTTAGGAGAGCTTGCCGTGCCCAGATTGTCAAGCAGACGTCTCTACCAGAAAAACCACCAATCATTTCTCAGAATTATAATCTCAGCGGCTTCTCGGCAGCTTCAGAAGCAACAGGGCCTGATAAAGTCACCGGTCCTCCCGTTCGACGTGTTGAAGCCCCGGTGTTATTCAGTTCCTTTTTCGACAGAATGCAACTTGGCCACATAGTTGCTGCTAAGGACAAGATATTGAAGAAGGTCAAGAATCGTGATGTTGAAGGGACTGCTATGTCTGAAGCCTCATTCGAGACCAGCATGTCTGACGATGGGCGCAGCACGAGAGACCAAGCGATGCAGTTCATGGGAGCAGTTGACCTTCGCAGTTTGTATAACAGATACCAAAAGAGTGAGGAAATTCGAGCATCTATGAGCGATAGAGAAACGTCCGCATCCCAAGGCACAGCCGAACCATCCCCTCCCGCTTCTGATTCAGAGATTGAGACCTATGTCCCCAGAGAGAAAGTTTTCCGGACTGAGGCAGCTGCCAGGCTGGCTGGTTCACCAGCACCAGGTAAGATGCCTTCCCATGTTGGTACTACTGTCGGAATGCGCGTTGTGAGCGCGTGGCCAAGACCTGCTGAACAGCGGCACTCAGCGAGGCGTCAGATGGATGCAAGGTCAGTAACGCAGCCAAGGCAGTCATCTTCAAGTCGTCGAGTCTGCAGGATCACCTATCGACGTCGGGACGACGCAAAAAGCCCTCCTCCTGAACTTCCCCGTCACGCACTCAACAAAGTTGCAGTGGAGGGGTCGTATACTCACATGATCCCTGTTTCCGGGAACGGCAACATGAAGGGACTGGTCTCATGCACGCCATATTCCTGGGGTTCCAACAGTCGCCATCCACACGAGGCATCCGCTCGCGTCGTTGAGTCCATGGGCTACCGCTACTTTGTGTTCAACATTCCAGAGAATGAGATGATTAACAGTGCCGACTTCACTCTAAAATCGTGCATCAGCCAAGGCAGCTTTGGCACAGTGTACAAGGCCGTCTGGAAGGGTGAAGTTGTGGCTATAAAACAAGCCCACGGCAAAATGACATTGGAAGCAATGAGATCGGTTGCAAGGGAGATCAATTCCTACCGCATGATTCAACACCCCTTCATTGTCCGTTACTACGGTGTCTGTATTGATCAGAACTTTGTGGGTCTAGTGACTGAATATCTAGATGGGGGGAACATTTTCGATATTTTGTATGAGAACAAAGCAAATATTCCTGCGGATATTCGACTCAGAATGTGTAGGCAACTTATAGAGGCGGTTCACTTCCTGCATACGGAGAAGCGCCTTGTCCACAGAGATCTGAAGACAGCTAATCTTGTTGTTGATAGGGAGGTAAGTAAGAATGGCTTCTGCGGTATGCCCGCGCCCCCTTCCCGTGCTAGTTAATAATAGTTGTTCCTTCGCCTCGACGCGGTAAGCTAGTTACCTTTTCTCGAACGTGAGCACCCGCGTTCGACTCGGGGGCTGAATTCCTGGTCTTCCCTCCTGGTGGATGATGCTTGTGGTGCTCAACATATTTGTGCAGTACAATATTCGGCTCTGCGATTTCGGCAAGACAAGATCATTGGAGCAACACGGGAAGCTCAAGCTGGAAGACAACGGAGGGTCTCCCCGCTACATGGCTCCTGAATGTTTTGTGGAAGGCAATTACGTGGACGAGAAGCTGGATATTTGGGGACTGGCATGCTGCCTCATTGAAATCCTTGGAGGCCCGATTCCTTTCGAGGACATCCACTCCAACGAAGGTATGTCATTATCGCAACGTTGCAAAAAAGTAGGTGTTCCCACATGCCACAGAGAAGTAGGAGTAGCAAGCGCTGCAAAGCTCGCTGTTGCGTTTGCTCAGGGGTCATACACGCGCTTCTCTACAACCGCAGGAAACCAACTGTTCCAGGTTGGTTCCATCCGCTTGCACGTTCAACACTGGACAACTGTTTTGCATGGAATCCATGTGAGCGTCCCGATACTCTATATATCAAAGATGTGTTCTCCAAATTGACGCCCGGAGAACTCGATAAGTATGGTATGAACCTTAAAAGGTCATTGTGTTGAAGATAAATTCCTCTGACCACGCGATTGCGTGTCCTGAACAATAACTCCCCCGGACGCCTGGCTAGCTGGGCCTGTTCCAACGTTCAAAGACCTCTTTTTAATGTTGCATTACCAGCTTCAGCCGTATTTCTTGCGAGCGGCAGCTGCGATCCATCCGTTAACAATCCGCTGCAAAAGCTTGACTAGTATTAGCCATTCCTGACACTGCTCTACCGAAGAATCATGCAAACAAATCCAGCGGAACGCTCTAGTCTCGAATGGGCCCCCCGCTATTCGCCCAGCAGCTCCCTTCTGCTGCATGAACGGCTTGCCACAACACATGAGTGCAGCTATTGGTTCGCGAAAGCAGCACACTCCCTTCCGCTTGAAGCGATGTCCTCCTTTAGACAAGAAAATGCGGTGTGGTCTAGCTGCGCCCATCAGCAGCTACAGTTGCGAACGCCTTCTGACGTCTCAAAATAGTACTTCTTCTACCCACTACGGCTACATATTCCCCCAGTTCGCTACCACTGCTGCGTGGCACGAAGAACCGTTCTCCACAGAACAACTACTGTTGCAACCGCCTGAGCCTCAGCCCACACTTTCCCTTTAAGGCATCGCTAGTATACCGAAACTGTGTGCAAGGCGCACCATTGTTGTCTACAAACACTACCTACAAAGCCTTCTTCTCAGTATGTCTGCGTAGATAGCACGCTCTGCTTTAACTCCTCAGTTACTCTGAAAGCTACAATTTCCACCGTGCCTGTGCCCTACTTCGCACTGTCCTGACGGCAGGCGTGATGCATGCTGCTAACTCCCTGAATGTGAACTGCGTCATTCTAGAACTTGCACACAACGCTGACTGCTGCTTGCAGCGCTCACAACAGACTAATTCCATGTTGCCTCAACAACTGCGATGCGCATGCTCTCAAGTAAAGTTGGAAGGAACACGGGAAGCCAGCAGGCTGAGCTTTGAGGGCCCCTCCATTGCCGTACTGGAATGAATGCACGGAGCTTATCCCTAGCCCCTCGCTGCGTTTCATGAAGCGCAACAATGCACGAACCAGCCTGCAAAACTGCCAAGAACGGGGCCGCCACAGCCACTGCCGCCCCCATCTTCCCGCCATGCGGACAGCTAAGCGTGTAGCCAGGACCCAATCCCACGAGGTCTTAATGAGTACAGACACCCTTCGCGTCTGCGTACGTCTTAGACCCCGGAAATTGCTTCTCTCAGCTACTACTCAGTATGTCGCGCTCTGTCGAGCCCAGTCGGCGGGCCCAACGCCAGGCAGCACACAAGAATGCCTTAATGTTGTGGCAATGTGGAATGGGTTGGTCGTGAAGCCGCTACGCAAGCTACCACCCGATCTATTATTGCGTTTAGAAGCACTTGCGGTGGACGATGCTAGGTCCAGATTCATCATACTCCTCCTTCGTAATCCACATCTGCTGGAAAGTGGAGAGGGAGGAAAGGATGGACCCACCAATCCAGACAGAGTACTTGCGCTCAGGCGGAGCGACCACCTTGATTTTCATCGTCGACGGGGCCAAGGAGGTTAGCTCCTTTGTAAGACGCTCGCCAATCCCTTCGTACATGGTGGTACCGCCGGACAGCACAACGTTGCCGTATAGGTCTTTCCTGATGTCCACGTCGCATTTCATGATTGAGTCGAACGTGGTGCGGTGAACACCTGATGCCTCCTTGCCCAAAAACGTCGGCTGGAACAGAGCCTCCGGGCACCGGAAACGCTCGTTGCCAACAGTGATGATGTTGCCATCAGGCAACTCATATGACTTTTCGATGTCACTCGAGTCCTCGGCATTCTGCAGGACACCAACACAACGGCAACCAGACAATATGAAGGAATGGAAAAGACAGAGGTACAAAAACTGACGATGACTGCCGCCGAGTGATTCAGCNGAGTGATTTCAGCAGCTGCCAGTTGTCCCGCAACCCTCACCTTCATCTCCTCATCGAAGTCCAGAGCAATGTAGCACAGCTTCTCCTTGATGTCGCGCACAATTTCCTTCTCAGCTGTGGTGGTGAAGCCATATCCACGTTCATGAAGGATGGTCATCATGTACTCAGTCAAGTCACGACCGGCAAGGTCCAACCGCATCATAGCATGAGGCAGAGAATAACCCTCATAGATAGGGACAGTATGGGAGACACCATCACCAGAATCAAGGACGATACCTGTTGTACGACCCGAGGAGTACAGGGAGAGCACGGCCTGGATGGCGACATACATCGCGGGAACGTTAAAGGTCTCGAACATGATCTGCGTCATGCGTTCACGATTTGCCTTTGGGTTAAGGGGTGCTTCAGTAAGGAGAACAGGGTGCTCTTCTGGTGCGACACGCAACTCATTGTAGAAAGTGTGGTGCCATATCTTCTCCATGTCATCCCAGTTGGTTACAATACCGTGCTCGATGGGGTACTTCAGAGAAAGGATACCTCTCTTGCTTTGGGCCTCATCACCCACATAGCAGTCCTTCTCTTCCATTCCAACCATGATACCAGGGTTTTTGGGGCGGCCAACAATCGAAGGGAACACTGCGCGAGGCGCATCATCACCTGCAACTCCGGCCTTCACATTTCCGGACCCGTTGTCCACGACGAGAGCTTGGACCTCCTCGTCCGCCATTTTCGCCTAAAAGGAAAATTTAAAGGAGAGTTGTGGCTAAAGCACCCAAGCAGCAGACGTAGACAAAAACCTGAGAGGTCCCACAAAGCGCGCACACAGCAATCCTGAATGGCGAGTCAAGAACGATGGCCAAGCACGCTTCCACTGCACTGACATCCCAAAGGTACAAGCAAAGCAAATAAATTGAAAATATTATATTCACACAGCCTTCTTCATCGGATAACCTGCTGTTCGCATACCATGCGAAGCGCACAGCAGGCGGAAGTGTCAGAGCATCCATGCAAGCTGTGCGTGAGTGCGAGTAAGTGCAATTCTTAACCTACCTGTAGCACTAGTGCCCAGGGGAACTCAGATGTGCAAATGATAATCAGCAAAACCGTCGTAAAATGGGGCCACTTCCGTTGCGAAAGATGCAGATAGTTGATGGGGGAAGGTGTGCCTGCAGAACCGCCGCTAGGCCGGCCAGAGGGGCTGGTGTGCTGCTGCCAGCTGAGCACTCCGTACTGCCTGCGCTTTCAGCTCGCTTCATGAACACACCAGCTTTCACGAATTTCGTGCTTACAATTTACTTCAATAATTATTTATACTTTTCCGCATGCTTGCACTGCCTTTTTTAGACTCCTGTCCCTTCACTGAGGAACACATGCTTGGCTCGCCAAGCGAGCGAGTCTAGATGGTGAGTTGTGTAGCATAGTGCCCGAAGTTAGCACAGCAGCACTCACGTGGCCGTGATAGGCTGCCTGCAAGCACATACAGATGCTCAATAGGGGTATACAGATAAAACAAGCAGCAAATGGAGCTTCGCTGTGATTGCATGTGATGGTGGCTTGCATCATCAGCCGCTGCGGGGTGCGCTGCAACGCATGTGTGGCGTGGTTTACCGGCAGTTGGGAAGGGAGCACTTGCTTGCCGTTGGTAGGCATGCAAGCAAATAAATTCCTTAAGTGTATAGTGACGTAAAGCGTGCAGTAAAGGAGCTTTGTTGAAGCTCCCTTGTGCTCGCAGGTGAGGCTGGCTTGAGTCGCAGGCTGCAACGAGGCGCACGGCAGCTGCAGCTAGGCTGCATCTTGCCGAAGGACCGCTGGCCATGAGTTGAATACCAATTGTCCCTCGGAACAGGGGAGGTGTAGGGTGGTCTGAGTGCATTTAGCGTAGGAGCTGACTTGGGTTCAGTAGGTTGCAAGCAAGCAGATGCAGACTCTCTAGAAGTGTATTCAGAGGTGAAGCACGCAATAAAGAAGGCTTCTTTGATGCTTCCTTGCGCTCGCACGTGAGGGAAGCTTGCAATCCCAGCTGCAGCGATGTCCACTTTAACTCAGCTTAGGCTGCCTCCTTCCTCTAGGCAGTACTCATTACAATCACGGCAAGAATGCCGTGATCGTTGCGAAATGAGTGAAGGTTGAATGAGCAGTGGAAGTGTCTGTGAGTGCTTCTTGATGTACATTCAGTACAACATTGATGAACGCATTAAATATTGTCTACGAAGAGACATTGTTATGAGTATTGGAGAGGCTGGCATGAGACTTGGTGCAAAGGGTGTTGGAACGTGCTACACCGTCTCCCCTCACAGCCCCCAAGGCCGCAGTGCCTGCTGTAGTGGGGCTGCAGAACAGAACAATTTTGTCATGTTGCTGTATCAGGTGATAGCTAATGCCTGCCAGCTCGCTATACTCAGCTCTGGAGTTCTATGGATGCGCCCCACAGTAGTCCTTCAGAGGTACACCCTACCAATACGTAATGTTTACTGCAAACATTTATACTAAAGTGAAATATTCTTCGTTATCGTGAACAAATCTCGGCATAGCATGTGAGGGACTGAGGGCTCTCTCCAGACATCTTCAGCTTAGTGGGCCGGCAGTACCTCTAGTGTTATGGATTCACATTACCTCATCGAGTGAGGGAACTTGGATCCCTACTAGGCTTCACAATTGTGTTTTTTCATCTGCATTTGTGTTGTCGTTGAGGGCAAAAAATGCAGAGCACAGCTGTGGGCATTGACTGCCGCATCTACTGACGAGAATGGCATCAAGTTCCGATGATCCTATGATCCCTAAGGCCCCAAACTCCCGTTAGTCTGGCCTTCTGAAGAGGAGTCTCTCACACTTTCTTTGCAACCCCAGCTCAGGAGCTGAACGCCCATGATACTTCGGGATAGGAGAAGGAGTTCAGCTGCTTTGGGGATGAACTCTGACTTCTAGCCTTTACTGTCATTGCAGCTCGCTCCTGTCCTTGAATCAGGCAGGAAAGCAAGCGCTACACTTGGTAGCGCCGCATGGTTCATCAAGGCAGTGGCGAGCACAAATCCCATCTCTACGTGGTGACATCATGCGTAGCTGAAAAATGATAATAAAATAAAAATTACTTTCCTTCCCGCAAGCAAAATCTCTTTCAAATTCAAGCCGCCTTCCCATGAAGGAACTGAGAAAACTTGAGCAAGGGGAGCTGCCGATAGAGCGTTACGAGCGGAAGTACCATTCCTTGGTGCACAGAAGTCCTTTGGTTGACCGGAAGCTGCTGTATAATTGGTTTATAGAGGACCTGTTGCCCCGAAAGAGGCGGTCAGCAACAAGCTGGACTAGGAAGAAAGAAATGAGGGCTGAAAGGGTGGAACTTGCTCACATGGAGTACCCTCGCGGAAAAAATGCCACTTCCACAGCCCTAACCGAAGAGGAAGACAGCAAATATGGGAAGGATCTTGATTCGGAGCCTGTTGATACTGAGGTTGTGAATCCCAGACCAGCCGAAAGCGGGCAAGAAGCAGTAACCGACAGCTGACCAGTGAACTCAACACCCAGAAAGCAAAAATGACATACCGAACGGCGCACTTGCTTCTTTTGCCACAAAGGTCACGCATTTCGAGATTGCAGCCTTATTAAAAGAAGTAGGGAAGAAAACTAGATCTCGAACAGCGCCTTCAGGGGCGCAAACAGAGCAATCAGCCAAAAGGCTTGGCCCCCACCCAACATGCGGCGCAGTGACAGGGCCGCAAGAGATAACGGCCACACCCTCAGATATGCCTCGAGTCCATTCAGAGCTTGTGCAAGTACGCAGTAAAGGGCAAGAGGTGCTCGCCCTACTCGATACGGAATGCGAAGTGGATCTGCTGTCGGAAGCGACAGCAAGGTGGTGCAGCCTACCCGCCCACTCAGTGGCGCAAGCTTTGTGGCTACGCATCGCCGATGGCAGGAAGGATACAAGAGTCGACAATACTGGCGTAAAATGCTCTCTTAGTTCCAGAACGTGGCACATTAATATGACGACGAACTTCTACCTGGGCCAGTTACAACACAATCCTACGCATGCCGTGGGTGGCCCAGCACAAGGAGCAAATGCGTTTCCCTGATGGCGGCAGAGAGGATTCTCCGCTAGGACGGGATGAGAGTGTACACATCTGAGCCGTCCCAACGGCATTAGCATCTTCTCTGGTTAGAGCAGTAGAAATTAGACCCCCAGGAAAGCGGAGCGAATATTCTCTCATGCAGTCAGGAGGCACTGAAGAGGACGAGAACGATATACATGCACTTCTTCGTGACGGTCTTGTGAAGTCCGAAATCTTATGAGATTCGTTCCAGTTCACTCCCGAGGAGCAGCGGAATTTGGTAAAACAGAGGGAACAGTTCTCAGATGTACTCAGTAACAAAGGACTACCGGCGGGCAGGCCACTCATCGCTCAATGCGCAGCATAGAATTCATTCCCGGCGCAGCCCCAAACTCCGTTCGAAGTTGCTGGCTACCCGCACGTCTTGACGAGCAACATTAAGCGGCAGGCGGATGAACTCCAGATAAGTCAAACGCTGAGTATACCACTGAACCATGTAAGCGTTCGAGAATTTGGTCAATCAGGGGTATGGTAAACTTCTCTCTCATTGTGATTTTGCTGAGCGTTTGCACCATCTGCCGTCCTTTTTCTTTGCCAACACCGAAGTGCGTCCAAAACCGCTAGTTGACGGCTGGATGTTGCCTTTTCTAAGAAGTATTTTTACAGATTCCAATTCATCCGGAGGACAGGCACAACACGGCGTTCCACCCTCGCCCTCGCAAGCTGGAGAACACATGTATGCCATTTGGAGTTGTGAACGCACCTGCCAAACTACAGCGGCAGGTAAATCGCGACTTCTTGCTGCCAATCACCGAGGATTGGATGGTAATACACATGGATGATGCGCTTCTGCCACAATGTGCAGGAGTACTTGCAGCGTCTCCGGCGTGCCCTGTTAATACTACGCGAGAAGTAATGGTTTGTGAAACCGCATAAGTGTCCGTTTTTTTGTGCGAACAATCAGTTCGTACGGTTCGGTCTCTCTGTCGCAGCGGTTGAAAGAGAGCTAGCTAAGATCGACGCGATTTAGAGGTGGCCACTACCACTATACGTGTAGTGAATACTAACTACAATCACGGCGACAATGCCGTGCTCGTTGTGACATGAGTGAGGGTTGTATGAACAGTGGAAGTGTCTGTGCGTGCTTATTGATCTGCATTGTGTATAACACTGGTGAATGCATTAAACATTCTTAATGAAGTGACCATTGGTATGGCTATGAGGGAGGCTGACATGAGCCTTGGTGCAAAAGGTATTGCAACATGCTACGCCGTCCCCTCTCCCAGCCCCAGAGGCCGCAGTGTCTGCTCTAGTGGGGTTGCTAAAGAGAACAATTTTGGAGAAAAAACTGAGATAACTATTTTCCTTCAGCGTTTGTTAGTTTGTTATGCTGTTGTCAGAGTATGATAGATATTGCTTGCCAGCTCGCTACACTCAGCCGTGGGGTTCTATGGATGAGCCGCACAGTAGTCCTTCAGAGATACAACCTAGTAATACGTAAAGCTAACTGCAAATATTTATACTAAACAGAAATACTCTAAATGACTTTGAACAGATCTCAACAAAGCATGTGAGGGACTGAGGGCTCTCCCCACATCTCATCAGCTTACAGGGCCCGCAGTACCGCTAGTGTTATGGATTCGCATCACCCCATCGTGTGAGGGAACTTCGATCCCTACTAGGCCTCACAATTGTGTTTTTTATCTGCTTTTGTGTTGTCGTTGGGGGCACAAGACGCAGAGCTGCTGGCAGAGACTAGTGCATCTACTGACGTGAGTGAGATCAAGTTTCGAGGGCCACATGATCCCTAAGGCCCCGAACTCCCCTTGGACTGGCGCTTCTGAAGGGGAGTTTCTCACAGTTGCAGCGCACCTCGCTGCACGTAATGATGCAAGAAAGCCTGTCATGCAGGTACAACCAAGTTTTCTTTGCAGCATGCACTAGCTCTCTCCACACGAATTGAGCATCTGTATTTTGCATGCAAGCGGCCTACCAAGATCCAGCTAGCGGTCCTGTGCTAACTCCGGACAGAGGTTTTTACATCCTTGGTTGGCCTCAAGGGCTCGTCCGGAGTGGTGAAGCAGAGATAGAGGCGAAAGACCTCCTAAAGGAAATTTCAGGCAATAGAAGAAATTGCGGGCCCAGTAGTGAGTACACGGCAAGCTTCCGATGAAGGAGCCTCGGATCCTTCTCATTCATCTGTTTTTCTGGAATGAGCAACAGCTGCAGGCATAAGGTGTGTTGGAGCAGTTGTCTTCTGTCCGTTCAGAAAACTCTTCCCCTAATAGATGACATCACCTTTTGTGAGTCATTTAGCTGCATTGCGTATACTACGCTTCTTCCAGTGCGGCGTGGCCCCCACCCATTGCTCGCCTTCCAGGTGGAGGGTATATTATGCTCCCTCTCCACTAAACGAGAGAGGAAAAGACAGAATCTGACAAGGATTTTAGCAGAGATACATTATGAAGTTTTTCCTTCTCTTTAGTAGAGGTTCACTTGAGGCTACAGTGCGCTATACTCGAAACCGCCCATACGCGGGGGGCGGTTCGCAGCTCGCGCCTGTTACTCTTAACAACCCACTGCTACCAAGTGTAATGGGAGTCTTCGACATTAGATGAGGACTCTCAATAACTGATTTAAAGTCAAAATGCTCCAGAGGAGTTAAAAGAAAATGCGGCTAATCTCCCCGTCAACCTGGTGTCGCCCTGGGCACAGCGACACACACCCCTGGAACTAGTGCGGTGAGGACGGAGGCGGTCATAAGTTATAGCACTGCTTCTCACGCCTCCTTCTCCGAGGCAAGCACACATGCAAAAAGGCGCAGCCTCCTTGCATGCAGTAAGACTGTAGACCATTGTTAAAGACTTACTTAGCATTCGGTAGCCGCCCTGCGCCCGCTTAGAATTAGGCATTCCCAGTTCAGGGTAGACCCACCAATGGGCCCATTCCTTCTGTCCGCCTCAGCTTGAGTAAGCACATTATCAGCATACTCTGCGAACACGAGGCGGCCATCTAAAGCAAGGCTAACTGTATCCTGCTGCCTTGTATTTATGGTGTTCAGCTCAGATTCCCATCGTAGCGTCTCCGACGATGATCTTGTAACAGCAAAGAACACGGTTACCCGCTGAAAATTCACCAAGTCCTGCCTTTCAATTGAACTAGCCTGAGGTCCTGCTTTTAGCGAACACGTAGGTGAGCGTATATTTTGTCAGCTGTGACTACGAGATTGTAAGCCCGAGTTGGGGCTTGCTCGTCACCCCTATGGAGACAAACACGTAAACAGGGCAGGAATCATCTCCTAGGGGCCCCAAAATTCTGTTTTCGTATAAATGTGTGACAATTCCTTTAATTCGGTTCGCAAAATCGAAGATATTTTTATACTTCCCAACTTGAGCCGTTTCTACTCTCTAGAAACGGCCAGTTTTCTGCCGTCCCTCAGCAGCCCGAAATCTGCGTATAGCCAAGGGGTGCAGGTAGTAGCTATATTTTATTGGCGCTGCATAGTCTAGACTATCAAGCTGCAAGGAATGTGCTCGCTGCCAACGGTGTTCTCTGCCCCATTCGCATGGTAACAAATTGCAGTTCTCACATCCTCGTGAACAGCGCCCCCCGTACAACACCTAGGTGTCCAATCCTTCAAGCTGTTACCCAGGTACTGCTGCAACAGAGTAGTTCCAGGGCATATGAGCTAAGCGTGAGTGATNCGTGATGATTTTTTAAGGCCAAGGTGCACGTGTCTAGCCTTTTTAAATGATCCTTAAGGATACTTATCCGCAAATCCTCAGTCGAAAACGGCCTGTAAGCCTAGTTTCTAGGGTACGCTACCAATTGGAGAATCAATAAGCATATTTGCCTGTCAACTTATTTGCGGTGCACCGTGACTTTGCACTGCATTCTAAAATATCCAGGAGCTAGATACTCATTCTCAACTCCACAAAACCCTTTGAAAATACCGCAATAAAGCCCCCTTGAAACGGTTCCCCATGCCTCCGTCCGTAGCAGAGAAGCAAGGAGCTATCGCTTGCATCAGACCACGTCCCATTTGAACAGGAGAAGAGCCGACATACCTGCTATCGCCCCGCCAGCCACTGCCCTGCGGGTCTTTACAGAAGGTCTCCAGAGGATTTCCTCTTTGTGCAGGGAACGGATCCCTTGCACAAACTCAAGGGAACTCAGGTAGTCAGACCTATCCTTCCTTATATAGGCCCTAGACCTACAATCACTCCATGAAATACCATTTAAATCGCATCTTAGAGACGAACGTTCTTTCCGAGCTTCCTGGTATCCGTACAAGCCAGAAAAACTTACATAATTCCGGGGGCACGAGACAGCCTGTGGAGCGTAGACACACTAAAGCTATCCATCTTCAAGTAAAAAAGTTTATCATAAATATCCCCAACTTTCAGGTTCCATTTTCTCTTGTGGGGCTGGCATCCTGCCTGTGCTCTCCTTTAGTGCATGATTGCTGACTCCTGAATGGTCGTGCCAGGCGCACAACTTTGGTGGAACCCTATCAATTCTAACGGTTTGCTTTCTAAGTGATATTTACTACATATAATCTCTAAATGATGCCTTTTTGGCTAAACTTCAGGCTTACGTAGCATGGCAAGGCCTCAGTAGACCTCTGCTCAAGTGAGGTAGCTTAGGGAACCAGGGGTGTGTGGGCCATTAAGGCCAGCTCGGCAGTTTACCGTGACTTTGTTAAGGCCTGCACCGATTTGCCATCAGAATTACTTCCTTACCTATGTTTATCCCCTTTGGGGTAGCACGTTACTCGGGAGGTTTCTGCGACACTTTGGAAAGGTTCGGCTGAATGGGCACTTGGCGACGGCTGGGCCCTGTACAGACTTGAGCTTTTCTTGTTGCCCTCGTGCTTATGGAAACGTTTCTAACCAACATACAAAACCTCTGCAAGTGGGATTGAAAATATCCTTATCCTCAAAGGGTGTGCATTAATGCATCTTAAGGGCACCAAGGAGTCCTGCGTTGTTCGCCATCTTCCTCGTCCCTTTGGACGTTTCGAAGAGAGCTGGTGAAAATATGGCATATAGTCCAGCTTCCAGCGATGCATATAAAGACGAGCCTTGCCGTCTTCTGGCATCTTCTCGCTTTGGGGCTACGTCCGCAAGTGTTGAAGCAGATGCAACGCAGAGTGTCCCTAGATACTCTCTTACTGAGGATACGCGTAAGCCGACTAGAAGCCTAGTGTCATCTTTTGTTAGCTGTGAGATGCCGCCTATCCCGTTCAGCAGCCCTGAGCATTCTCCCGCAGCCAGCTCGATTCTGTCTCCTCCGCTGACCAGCCAGCACTCAACGGAAAATGTCTTATCATCGACTGTCGTTCCGTGGTTACAGTGCCCAGTTGTTCCCTCAAGACACAGTGAGGGGCAGATACAAAAGCACGGTTCTGAACATGACGCCAACAGCAAAGCTTCAGTCTTTCCGCATGCCTCATCTACAAACAGCCCGCCATACCCAGGGCAGCGGCTTGTTCTGCCCGCCATAGCTGAACCCTCCGCAGAAGACTGCACCAGCGACTCATCTGTCTCCACTTCGCGAGAAGGCACAGACTCTGCGCCCAGCAGGTGGCTTAAAAATGTTTCCATTGAAGTTGCACAGGATGTGCGGGTAGAGAAAGAGTTGTATGCTCCAACGAAAGATCAGAAACTATCAGTTAAACGAATGGTAGTGAGACAAGTTGAGGACTATCCCACGAAAGACAATACAAGCTCTTTATTTTGCCCTTGCCAGAGCTCCAATGTAGCACAAGGCACAGCCGCTTCATGGACCTCTTCCTACGAAAAGACAATATCTGGTGGACTGCATAGTCAGTGGAATGTTACAGAGTCATCTAAAAACGACATGAGCTGCCATTCATTTGGAGGCTCACCAGCACTCTGTGAAGGCCCTGAAACTTTTGCCGCTAGTGCCACACTGGCGAAGGGAGGAATCGGTGTACGGTCTGGGAATGCTATGTCGTCTTTGGAGCACCTAGACGATGCTGATGATGGTCGGGCTTGGCTGGATCATCTAGAAAAGCTTCGCGGGGGTGCTCCCAAGGAAGAGTATAAAAGGGAGAGGTCACGGGTAGTAGATGCTCTCATTCGAAGAGCCGCTACGTACCCAAAAGTTTCCGGCATATATTTTGACAAGCATCAGGTAAGCAGACGCGCTTCCAAACACTCGTTTGCTGCTACGTTTAGCAACAGTTTTATATAAAGGGCCTGCTACTGATTTTCAAAAAAATTAGGTCTCAAATGCCCCCGTGGGCTTTCAGAGAGCTTTTAGGCATTGTCACGTCACTCTTAACTGTATTTCTTCGCAGTTACGTTGGTCTGTGGGATGGGCCCACAATGGCCGCAGAGCGGCAAAGTACTTCCCAGTTAAACTTTTCGGAATGCGCGAGGGGTATGACATGGCAGTAAGCTTCAAATCCACCAAAACAGTGCTTCTGGAGCCATCGACGCCACTTCTGACGAATCCTGTTCAAGGTGCAGAGGGTCCAACCAGCTCTGTGAGGCACACCGATGGCAACTCCAATAAAGCATCACTAGCAGTGGTTACAGCCTCTCGTGCGGAGAAGCCTTTGTCTTCCTACACAACCGATGCGCCGGTCACTTTGTCCCTTCAGCCGCAGCCGGCAATTGCGGGCCCCAGCCTGTGCAACCGCACGTGGCAAGAAAGATTACGAATTTGCTCACCATGCTTTTCAGAGATGCCTCTCACTACACCGTGTCTTATGGTCACAGCGAACAGCCAAACATCCTCGGATAGAAAAAATGTAGACGTCTCAGGCACCGCCACTACTAGAACTGGCGTCCAAGTTCCCGGCCATAACTCTGAATTAGTGACGCCACCAATGCAAAGAATTTCCGTTTCTGGTGGCAGTGATAAGGGAGAAAAGCTGAGTCAAACGGCTGATGATCATGCTTCAGCTCCCAGCTCTCCTGGCGGGACTACTCATGGCGAGCTGCATAGCCTACCTGGCTTCCGGCCGCAGCAGTCACAGTGGCCATTCACTTCAGTCCTTGAGTTAGACCAACTTAAAGTCCCTTCTCCCTGCACAGCAGTCAACAGAAAAACGGAACCCCAAGCAGTAGTGGAAGGCCGCCTAATTGCTTCAGGCGCCTGCTACTTGAATAGGACGCAGGAGCCCACACCACAGGTACCCGGAATGGTAGCGCCAGCTGCCCCATTTGCTCCTCATCGCCCACATGTTTCTGGCCAAATCAGGGACAGTTCCAACTCAATTACTTGCCGAAACTCCCGGGAATTGTGCTGTGCTGAAAATAACATGGAGACGGGTGTCTCATTCGTATCAGCAGCTCCTAGGGTCGGCAGCCGAGATAGTATGGCTACGCAAAGTGAACGCAACTGTCCGTCGCTGTCATCAATCTCGTACGAACAGTCCCCAGCCCAAGAAACGTTTCTTTCCGCCGCATTAGTTCCTCTGGCACATCATGAGAACCCAGTGAGTACTTGCACAGGAGCAACAGGGACTCGCTACTAGCCACAAACTTTCAGTCCAATCGGTTCATGTTCCACCTAATTCTCTCTGTAATTTCTCATCTNGTAACCAGGCGTATTTAGCTTTTATGGCACGACAATACTCACTCCTATCGTGCAATTCACTTGTTTGAGTACGTTACTGCTCGGTGTCTTCGTATATTTTCAGCGGGGAGCACCAGGCTTGTCTGGTCTGCACTCGCGCGAACTCAATGGGCTAGGCCCTACTCAAGATGATGCCAAACCTGGTGACCTTCCATCAGCAGTGAAAATGCTTCGACCACCTTGCAATCCTCTTCAAGATGCTAGCCCTTCTCATACGGCAGAAGTGGGCAACCTACCTGCTACGGGAGCCCGTAGAGGGTCACTTTCCTGTCATCAAAACGTTTTGAAGGCAAATATTCAAGAAAAGGAGCTTCTAATGGGTACAACTCTGAGATACGATCGCCTACGGTTGCAACACTTTCAGCAAATTCACCACACGCCAGGCATCCACTTTGACAAGCACTCTCTCAGATGGAAGGCGACGTGGTACGACATATCGGGGCACAGAAAAGCCAAGTATTTCCCCATAGGTGAGAGCCAAATAGGTATATGTGCTGCATTGTTCACGCTTCCAGGCAACCAAAATTGTTTGCTATATTACGGTTGAAGATACTGCTTCTGCAACTGAAACACATAAAAAAAGGCTCTCGCAACAAAATCAGTTACATCAGATGTGCCTCCCCGCTTCTTGTTTCAGCACGATACGGCTTTGAACGTGCCAGATTGCTGGCTATACATACACGCCTGACAAACCATATACCAAGAGGTTCAAGGTACAAGGAAAAGACAATCTCAGAAGGCCTGACACTGCAGGTGTTGCCGCAACAAGGGTCTGATATTCCATTCGGACAAAGTTCATCCTGCGTTGCAACTGCTGACTCATTGCCAGAAAGCAATACAGCTGACGATTCGCCCTTGAAGGAGCATTTAAATACGCAGCATCAAAAAGTTGGACCCTCTAGCCTCCTCGGAATGTCCAACCGTGAGCCTTCGAGGAACGCGGAATGCATACAGCGTTTCATATGTAAAGGCACTGGGGATGATTTGTCCGTAGAATGTGTGCAGCTTGAAGCACTACTGAACTTACCATGCTGCGGGCTCCATGTTATTCCACTGCAGCAATTGGATCGACGGCAGATGCTTCAGCCAACCGGCACCTCGCCGCGCTAAGCTCACTTACAGACGGCGGATATGATGAAGAAAGAGACAGGCGGCTGTCAAAAGCGGTAAGGCACACCTACCTCTATAGTCCCTACGGTCTTTTTAGGAGACTGTCCTAGTATGACTGGGCCATCTGCAAGTTATGCAAGTCGTACACTGCTGTGGAGGACTTATTTCAGCCTTCCCGAGTGCTCATACGTCACGCTTCCAGACTTGCGCGCGTGCCCGGCATCTGGTTCGACAAGAAGCAACTGCGATGGGCCTGCACATTTACAGATGTCCAGGTAATCATTGGGCATGCACGTTTGAAGACGTCCAGGTGGTGATTAGTGCTTACTACTTCTCGTCGTTCGTAGGCGAATTGGCAAGTTGTACATGCAAATTGGCCTGGCGGCTGAAGTTCAGATCGTGCGTTTGATGGAAGGGGTTGCCGAAACGTGTTGTGTTGCTGTTCTTCTTGCAGTCTGGAAAGCGTCGAGCAGAGTATTTTCCAATCCGTCACTTTGGATTTCTGGGGGCTCGCCTACTGGCCGTAAATGCTCGTAAAAAAATGGAAAAATTTCGTTCGCAAGCGAATGTTAATGCTCAAGCAAATGAAAAGTTTAAAAAGGAAAGCATCAAACATAATGACGTATCCGGTGTTGGTGAAGACACCATGGGAGAGGTGGACAGCTTTGAAAGTCAAATAGCAAAAGAAGCAGGTGTACAGGATCTGTGGAATAAATATGTACTTGAGACACTTCAGCGCAAAGACGTTTCAAAGGGTCGCCATGCTTCCACAACCGACAGTACCTTTTTCACTCTTGCTGCTGGATCGCTACGATTTGTTGACGACATAAATGACAGCGGGGCCGGCTGGGTAAGCTCTTTTTATTCGTTTCTCAAGCGCCAAAACAATCAGAAAGAGAATGCTTTGCTGCTCATGTAATAATTGTAATTTTGATTGGCAAGAGGAGTTGAGAAAAGGGATACCAGTCCAAGGTACGCCGCTTCCACTAACATGTTCTTATCAGGCTGACGAATATTGCCAGGCAACTGAAAGCAGTCACCCCTCAGCGGAACCGAAGAGCGAAGTTCTATCTAGCCAGGAAGAAAATGTCCGCAACCGATTAAAATCAGGTTTATTCTGTTGGTTAGATGCATATATTTTCCATTAAAAAATTGAAACACGGCAAATTTGTTACAAAGCGTCCCATCGGGAAGCAGCCGCGGTACACCATTTTCTCAGTCGCCTTGCTTACTAACTGTCTTTACGAGGCTCCACTTTCAACCTGGTATTGCTGCGTGCAGGACAGAGGAGGCCTGCTTAAAACACATTCGGAAACCATTCTTTCTCTCGGAAGAGAGGCTATCCGCTTCCTTCTCTGCGACTTGCGCTCACACTGTCTTAGTGGTCTTGCTTCTGGTTTGTCGCCAAGAGAATCCATTTTCCACATGACCGTTTTACATCAGCATGCATTATGGGTCGAGAAAGCCGAGCATTGCCAAAGCCTTGAGCAGTATTTGACAATTTTCGCCAGCTGCATCAAGCATATGAAGTTGCCTAGTCACCTTTGCCAAGCTGAACAGAGACGGCTACTACAGAGCATTGCCGCTCTCGCAGTGCCTGCCTGCATAAGTAACTAATTAACCATAATCAGAGAAAGAATGCGGCTGTTCCGCTATGGAGTGTGTGTACTGGGCTAAAATGCGCATAACAGGGAGCTTGATGTCTTCTTTAAGCATCGACGGAATTGACATTAGATCGCAGGTTTTCTCAAATACTTGCTGAGACGACGAGTGCTCTAAATCCGACAAGACTACAAAGCGAAATATGCCAGCACAGTAGACTTTGGTTTCATCTACTCTGGCTTTTCCCTAATCGCAGTTTTCCTTCACTCACAGGTGAAACATTTGCGCTTGCAACTGTTCTCGCCACCGGCAAACCTTGGCGAACTCTCAAAATTAAAGGCAGTTTGCCTCTCTGTGTTTTGACACTGAAGCGAAGCCTTCTACGCCCGCCAACTGCCATCCATTCCACGGACCCCTAAACCATTTTCCCTCCATCGCAACGCTAACCCTGTCTAAACGCGCATAGAACGTCTCAGCCTGTTCACTACTGTCCTTCTTAATATTGCTGAGGCGAATATACGGGTTTATCGGCTGGGGGATGGTCTAAGAATCTTGCTTCTTCTCCCGCCACTGTTCTAAAATTCATATCCACGGCGGGCTGACGGCGGACGGCTCGTATTCGTCGATTACCAAAGCAGAGGCAAAGAAAGAATGGAACTTCCAGGAAAGGGGCTTACAATGAGCTTTTCCTACCTGCTCCGTTCACCAACTTGGGAACCAACGACACTGAAGGGTCGTTTGTTCAGGAGCCTCAGGCAAACCGCTTGAAATCACCAGCATCTGTGGATACACTTTTGGGAGTGGAACAGTCGAAGCTGCTGGAGTTTCATCAGGCTGAACTGTACTGCTACGTTTTGATTCCGTCCCCTTAGACGGCGTCGTTAACCCAAAATACAGCCAAAATTGCTTCTAAACTCCCCAAAAGCTACCTCGCAGTTCTGGAACCCAGCGCTGTAACGAGCAGCTGCCCGAAAAAACCAAGGCAAGCTCGTATATACTTTCAAAGACTCTGTTGAATTGGTGTGGGTTCAACCACGCAGCTTAGCCTTTCCGCTCGTAATTTCACTGCATTCGAGGATAGAGATGTCCAAAAGCGTTGCTGCACATTTTGCTTTAGAGGCGAAATTTGAAATGATTACGGAGCAAACAGTACTATGGCACCTACGAGTGGAGATAGCAAACACTACTGTATCGATGCGTGGTTTAGCACGTAAATATCCACTAGCCTAGAGTAATGGGCTGGCCATTCCTTACGATTAGTCACTTGCGGAGGCTATTGCTTGGTGTGAAGCGTCATCTCAGTATTCACTAAATCGAAGTAGCTTTTAAGGAGCTTACTTTAAGCACACCTGGATATCATGACTACTAATGACCGCTCGCTTGCTCAGCGGTCCTTGCTGCCCGTATTAGGTCCCGCGCCCCTTTGAGATCAACAACTGTACTACCGACATTTCCCGTGCTCTGAGGGCACTCTAGAAGTGGGCTTGGCTTTCGTAGACTACGGCCTTGACTGATTTCAGGTTTGCACACGATGCGTGATGCTCTATGCAGCCATCGCACCTCAGGAAACGCTACCTAAGTACAATATGCTCTTCCCCACAAAGTAGGACGCAAATGAACTCCGCGTTCCAGCACTTAAATGAATAGTCTACACGAAGTTAAACCGAGGCATACCCATCAATTTATGGGTGGAAACATCTATTACAATACTGTAGTCCAGGAGGCTGCGGACATATGCAATAAGTGCCAAACAACAGATGGGTAAGTGCACACAAAGCATATGTAGGCCAGAACCTACAACTACAATGGCTGCTTATTTTCTTGGCTCAGCTGCCTCCTCTTTGTGGACCACGGTGGGGCACAGAAGCTCGCTGGGGCTGGGCCGCAGCCCCGTCCATAAAGCACACGCGAAAACTGACACTGGCGCTGGCATCTATAGAAAAAGCTACAGCCGGCATTGATGGTGGAAAATGGTTGTTATTTTGTAGTAGTGGAAAAATCTCGACTATTGCACGAGGCAAGTTTGTCTCGTCAAAACATTTTTCACAGTGTCTGTTCGGAATAGCTCGGCAGGATCGCCGTTAGCGGATGTTCAATATTCACNTGTAAACTGACGGTATGGGAGGGAATATAACGTTGCCGCTGTGTAGGTGCAATATAGCCTCTTGAGACTCCCGTGTCTGGAAATACTTTTTATACATGACATGAAACTGTGCGTGCTCCCGTGTTCGCAAAAAAAATAAGGCTGGCAGTAAAAACAGACTCTTGAGTTGGAATAGCATGTGCGGCGCTGGAAATCCTCCTGGCTTTTATCTGTTCTGCCCTGCTGAAGACGAAACAGCAAGACATACGAACCCCGTTGCATCCATCGCCGCAACCCTATTCAATCCGCAATGGGTTTGGCACGGTTTCCAAATATACTAGGCAGATCACTACTATGAAAATTAGGAAATCTCGTGGGGCAGTTCAAACAGGACGGGATATCGTATTTCTCCTCTTCTGGCCCTTTAGCCCGTCATTCACCATCCGAGTTTCGCTGTCACAACTCATCTGTTTAGACTGGCTGTAGAGTTGTTTGCTACCATTTTCTGTCCTCATCCCAAGCTGGCCAGCTAGCCACGGTTTTCCTGCACGCTGGTTCAGATAGGTGCTCCTCTAGAGCACTATAAGCCCAGAATGTCGCCCTGCGAAAAGGTTGCAACTGTTGTACCCCTCTAGATATCCTACACAGGCCCCTGGAATAGCTGGAAGTGACAACTCACCTACTAAGCCGGAGACAGTTCAACTGAGAGTGTATTTCGCCTCTCGTTGCTCTGCCACAGCCTCCAACCGCGAAGATTCCTTCCCTCTTTCAGTCTTCCTGGTGCTCTGTGAAGTTTGCTCACGATGTAAATCCGCTCTACGAGAGCGCCACGATCCTGGAGGCCGGGGCCGCAAAGGCCCTATTTTCTCGCCAAACTGAAAGCACAACAACAGCGAAAACTTACGCTTGCCGAATTCATCCTAGCTTTATGTCGACCGGTGGAAGACCTTGCCACTTTCTTCGCTCGTTGTCCTACACCAGCTCATCTATGAAGGGAGATGTTTTTCAAGCACTTCTCATCGGGCCATAAAATCACCGAGAGGTAAGCTAGATGCATTCTTCCTTTCATCAATTTGTATCGGCGGTTTTTAATGCCATGTAAGGGTCGGCGAGCCACAGAATTAGCTGAGGTAAAGAGGCAACAGGATCTCTCTGTCTCTTCCAACCTCAAAATATGACGAGATTTCTACCGGTTCGAAAGCAATAACAAACCATTCAAACTTACGTTAAGGGAGTCTCAGCCCGGAATTTCCTGCCATCACTTTCAGCTGTGACTGTGTATTACCCTTGTGCGTTTGCAGTCGGAACAAATCGGTTGTCATCTATTGTTTTTTCTATGTGGGGCCCTACCACCGCTCCTCCTCAGTGGAGGCATTCAGTTGAGGTCTCTACAACGATAAGCTGTGATGATTCACACTTAAAACCTTCCTCAGACGGATCAATTCTTCTCCAAGGGCCCATTGGGTTAGGGTCCGGCGAGGAGGACGTACTCCAAACGGAGAAGGCAGAGAGCGAGGGTGAAGCGGAATACAATGGGGGAACTGTAATACCTGTTCCAGCTGAAACAGCGGCTGATGGGAGTAACAATTGTGACAGAAATAGTAGCACGAATTGCTTTTCGCTTGTAAGGGCTGTAAAGCCTGAGCGGACGCTGCCGCTCCCCCCCGGTGGGCAGAATGAGGGATTGTTGGGATGCCACGACTNGTAAAGCCTGAGCGGACGCTGCCGCTCCCCCCCGGTGGGCAGAATGAGGGATTGTTGGGATGCCACGACTCTAGTTCGACTGGCCACGGGCATTCTGAAAGCTCTCGACTGGCAATCCATACCACAGCGCTTACTCAGAAGCTGAAAGTTTCCCCTGCTGTCACTAGCGAAGGCTCCCAATGCCCTCCCCCGGTTACCACTAATGAGACTTCACCACCGTGCAGCCCCGCTCCCAACGTGTCATCTGCAAGTCCAGTCTTGCCGTATGCAGTTCCGCTTGGAAGCTCTGGGACAGCAGGGCTGGGAGGTTCAGGAGCGCGTCCCTGGACTTCTAACGCGCCACGACTGCCGATGGTTTCTATTGGAGGGGAAGCACGGGGGCCTTCTGTAGGGAGTGTCGGATGCTTTATTTCCTCAGTATTCCTCGGAACCAATAGTCACACACCTATCCTCCCAGGCGGCGCTGCCGCTGCCTCATCGGCCCTTCCGGCGGCTGTAGGTAACCGTTTTTCTGGCCTCGGATGCCCGCCACTTCTTCATCCTGGGATTTCTGTGGGAGGAAGTACTGGTGCTCTTAGTTCATGGCCTCAGCATCCCAAACAGCAGCAGCAGCCAGCTATGTGTCTTAGGCCGCATTTAGTGCATACGACAGGTCCACAGCCAACTAGAAACATGCCTGTAATTCTTACCGCCCTGCGTAGGCATCTACGATCACTAATCCGTATAATGTACAATAAGCAGTATGGGAGGACGCATTTTGAGAGCGCTGCCGTGCAAGAAGAGGCCAGCATTCAAAAGGAGAGAGATCGTGTAATGTATCGCCGTGAAAGCGGTAGTGGATGCGGCGTCTCAGTAAGCCTCAATGAGGAACACCCTCCTGCCTCATGTTGTCTAAAGGGCCTCATCAACGGGAGCCAAGCTGAATTCGCACAGTGCTCAGCAGCTGTGGACATGCAAGATGTTCCTTCAGCCTACAAAACCAAGGCCCAAGAAGGATCCTTGATTCCTCCTGGAAGGCAGGGTAATGGATTGAGGAACTCCCCTAACGTTAACTCTCAGCTGCGCCCTCCATCCCCTGAAGACGAAGTGACAGAGTCTCAGGACGACACACCTGAGACTGCTGCTGTCTCGTGCACAGTGCGCAGGGGAACAGCAACAGTCCAGCTTGCCGGTAGCTCAAGCGACTCACCACTGTCACATTTGAGTAGTGTCGAAGGAGCTGCAGAAAGTTGGGAAGGGCAACGATGTTTCCACGAGGAGCACCTGGATGCTTGCTCCTTAAGTGAGCTCAGTGAATACCTCCAAATTTTTTCTTCATTCTTGTCTCTATCCCTTTCTGAAGTTTCTAGACAAGCGCCGGCCACTTTGCAGCACGTCAGGCTTCAGTTATTGCTGCTGCGAAACAGTCACCAGCAGCAACCGCATCGACAGCGTCAGGCAAAACAGATTCTCCAGCGGTGGCCTCCAGGGCTGCAGTCTTCCGCCGTCGGAGGATCTGATGGTGACGATGACGAACCTTCTTTAAACAGCTGTGCGGAGGCGGCGCTATCACCAGTAGACGCCTGTTTGCACGCTTCGGCATCTGGGGCAACCCGCCAATCGGTGCCATTTGGCAGTACTAACTTATCCTTTCTCTCGTCCTTCTCCTCTTCTCCCAATTCCCAGGTTGATGTTGAGGCACCATCAATAGCAACGTCCGCTGTACAAGGGGAAAAGACAGCAAACGGCGGTGCTGTCTCCGCAGGTAGGAAACCATCCCAAACTTCAGCTGCTCTACTGGTTTGCCTACGGATGTCTGGACTGGGACATTTTTGTGTATTTATTTCCGCAGGTGAGTGCGAAGCGGGACCCCAGCCAACAGGAGTAAGAACTTCAGAATTTCCCTCGTCTTCAGTGGATGCATTCAGCGTGGATGGGCCTCCAAGCAACGGCAGCAACGCAGCAACCATCGGTACACCTACGACAGTTCCAGACTGTCCAGTACCGCCTCCAGTCCCCACGACATTTGTCACTGCAACAGCGAACGATCAACCTGGTGTGCCAGCCGGACTTCCTCCCTGTAAGGAGAAGTTACCGCTGCAGTGGAATTCTGATTGTGGAGGTGCAGCAGGCGCAGCAACAGTACCAGCCGCAGGCTTGAGGTGGGCTCCCCTGACAGGGACTGCTATTGGCATACGACTGCACAATCTCATTGGCGGGACATCATTGGGCCTGAGTAACTCCCTTTCGTTGTCTGGAAGTTCCGGGGGGGCGATTCAACACAGCACAGAAACACCCGCTGGGCCATCACTTACTGCAAACAGCAGCTGCGGGGTAGGAGGCGTTTTAGAAGGAGGAACGGCTACTCTAGCGCTTGCCCCCGGCCCCCTTGAATGGATTCGTGACGGTGCGGCAAATACAACGAGTAACCAGCCGATGGGAGTTCCCGTATCTCCTTATGCATTTTTAAGTAACGGGCACTCTCAGAGCCCCGAGAATACCCTACAATTCGCGAGGACGGTGCACAGTACTCGCGGCTCCTCTAACGCATGCGCCACAAGTCCAGCAGACCTAGGACTAGTAATCCCCGCTGATGGTCTTGGCCAAGGTAGGGCCCAGAGAGGCAACGTCCAGGTGACCTTTTCCCCTCAGATGGGGGCCTGGGTGGTTTGCTGTGCACGAGGTTTGCTACAGCAAAGCAGAGCATTTTCCGTTGCAACCCTAGGGTTTGAGGGGGCGAAAAAGACGGCCCAGCAATACGCAACCCATTGTACGTCTATCTTGCAGTGTTGCAGCGAGCTGGCCGTAAATCCTGTTGCCTAGCTCAAGTGGCCTATCTATGCTCGGAATTATCATCAAGGGTCTCCTGCTCTGATTGTTAGAACCTATAAAATATCTTATTGCTATGTTTATGCTGTTGGCGCAGGCCGGAGACAGTGTTCTTCCAAGCGTGCATCCGATCGGGGCAGCAAAGGGAAGGGTTGTGAGGCGAGAGAAGACGGCACGAGAGGTGGAGCACGAGGTTCTAAGGATACCAGCAGAAAAGCAAGCAGCGCCGTCACACCAATCCCCCAAGTTACTATAGGACTTGTTGGACCTCCTGGAGGAGCCTTTAATTTGGCCAAAAGCAATAACCAGGAGTTCATCCTCCCTAAGAGTGTAGGCAAATCCAGTGTCGGCCTAGATACGCCAGTTATTCCTTGCATATTTCGTGGATGAACCCTGACCGGATCAAACAGCATTTCCTCCTAAGCATATTGCTTTCTTGTAGTTATTCCATGGCAGGACAGTCTTTCTCATTGATGCTTAATGAACCGCTATTTTCCTTCTGCAGGACTTTTCAGCCAGCCGCGTGGCACGCCTCAGCCGCAGGGCTATGGAATTACCGTACGTTCATGGTGTTCGTTTTGAAGCTGCAAATTTTGCCTGGGTAGCTCAGATGAGGGGCGAGGCCCGCAGATTTCTGGTTAAAAAGCATGGGTTTGTAAAAAGCAGGCTATGCGCTATCGAGAAGATTGAGACGTGGAGGGCAGCTCTGTCTCCTGAAGCGCTGGCAAGCGAACTCAAAGGTACAAACGCAAAATCCCGTTTCAGCCCTCTGTCATGTATGTATCTCGCTGACAGGCATATGTGCAACACCTGGCTAGTGAAAACATCATTGACAAGTGCTTTTGCAGTTTTTCGCCCTCAATCAATATGAGCATTTCACCTCGACAGTTAAACATAAACGCGCATAAGTGTTTGTATGAATCATTATCTTGGTGGGACGAGCCATGAAAACTTGACTGCACAAGCCCGTGTCGTGTTCTTCTGTTGGCCATATATACTATAATGTTTTGTAATCGCGATCACCGCTTATTGTGCATTTCCTCCCTGAAGCGTTCTCCTGGAAATTTCTCAGCCTCCAAGGAGAAGTGCGGTAGGCTGCCAACTTTATGCTCGTGTTTCTCTCGGCATTGCTCATTCCCACTTATTCTTCAGCTGAGCAGGACGTTCTGGCCATGGTTCCAAATATGTGCCCGGAAGAGGCTTATCCCGAGGCGATGCAGGCTGTAGAGGAGTCTCTGCGCCTGAAGTTCCAACGAGGGACAATCATGTCATGTCGATCCAGCGGGGGTGCTTCTATAGGGCTCAAGCGGCAACGAAATCTTTGTCTAGACACTGATCGGGAGCTATCTAAAGCAAACCGTTCTCATGACACTTTTCTCGAGCAGTTCCTGGTACAGCAGCAACAGGTTATGGCCGCACAACACCTAATTTCACAACCGGGCACTCAGCCCGACGTACTTCGGCACCAATACCAGCTTCCGCAAAGCCAGTTCGTGCAAGCTTCCCACCAGCACTTCGCTGAGAACCCCCAGCAGCACCTCCTGACACAAGACCATCTGCTACGAGCCATTGCTTCACCAGGATCGAGTGCAGATCCCACACCAGGACGGGAAGAGCCAGAACAGCCGCAACAGCAGCAAATTGTTATGGCGATCCAAGGACTTCGCACACGAGGGCAAAACCAGCAGCCGCTATTGTCACATCAGTTGCCCTCAGTGGGCCCTACAGTGCATGGGATGAGCCTCCAGCAGCAGATTATGGGCGCAAATAGTCAACAGGCCAGAACAACACCTGAATGAACGTATCGAACGTCCGACCGACCCTTGCATCGCTCACCTGTATCCCATCGGGAGAAGCAACAAAATTTAAGCATGACCTAGTCTTCCGAAGTATATTCGTTTTAAGAACAAAAGCGGTCTTATTTTTACGCATGCATTCGTACTGCAAACGTGTAGTAAATCGTGCAAAAGAGAAAAGACAAAATAAGTAATTTTATTTGTGCCAGGCGCCCGAGTCGACGGTCTCCAATATGTTGACGACACCTACACCCGTTGCCAGACGAAAGGAGACACAGTTCAGGTATCAGCAAGTATCCTTTCACTGAGTTAATTAATGTGGAAACAGCCATCTTTGAAACTTTAATGCACCGTTCTATCAGTATAAGGGTTTCGTCCCAATGATCTGTTTTCTGTTACAATTGGAAATCCAGGTGGTACACTGCAGTGCAGTCTTCTTACATATGCATGTTGTGATTATTTAGGATTGTATGGGTAGCTACATGAAAGCATAAAGCTTCATTGTGTACCCCATTGGGAGCGTATAGTCAGGAATCCGCCGCTGCACCGGTTTTGCTGTGCATGATCTATGCTGAGAACCAAGCAAGCCCTTATTAGTTGTCTACAGTTCAAAAGTACGCGTCTAAGGGGAGCTCAGTTATGCTTGGCTGTACGGTTACGCTGCGACGGAACTTGTGGCACAACACGTTCCAACCCTCGACAACTCCTCTCCCTGCCAGCTCCTGGGCCGTGCACCCCCCACGACGCCTGGATACAGGCGGGGAGGTCAGCTACACCTTTTGGGGCTACAATGTTAAATGCGCTGGCCCTGTTGTGGTTCACGACTGCCGTAGTCTGAAATGGGGGCCTCGTGCCTGGTCGCAGCGCATGCACACCGCTGGCAGACGCTGGCTGGGAACTCCTCCTCACAGGAGCGAGCTGTGTATGGCACAGCTCGCTCCTGTGTCGGCACACAGGAAGTAATAGAATTAAAGCAAGGGGAGGGATCTATAAAACTGTAAAATGGGAAAAGCAAGATTTTCAGTGCGCATAAGTCACGGGAGCTTCGGAGTTTCTGTGTTGTTTGTTCGTCGCGCGGCTGTCCGCTGCGGACAGAGAATCAGTCAGCACCAGAGTACCAGAGTGGGAGTTCAAAGATATACGTTTTAATCTACTGCAACCAGCAGAGGATCCACGTTGTTCGTAATGCCCTAGCTGTGAGAAACTCCCCTTCAGAAGGGCCAGTGTAAGGGGAGCTTGGGGCCTTAGGAATCATGCGGCCCTCAGAACTTGATCCCACTCACGTCAGTAGATGCACCAGTCTCTGCCAGCAGGCTTGCGTCTCGTACCCCGAACGACAACACAAACGCAGANCTACGGGCCCTGTAAGCTGATGAGATGTGGGGAGAGCCCTCTGTCCCTTTCATGCTATGCTGAGATCCGTTCAAGATAACCTAGGGTATTCCTCTTTAGTGCAAATAGTTGCAGTTAGTTTTACGTATTACTACGTTGTATCTGCGAAGAACTACTGTGGGGCGCATGCATAGAACCCAACAGCTGACTATAGCGAGCTGGCACGTAATGACTATCATACTGAGACGACACCATATCAGAGTAGCAAAGGTTAAGGAAATTGGTTATCTCAGTTTATTCTTCAAAACTGTTCTCTTCTGCAACCGCACTAGATCAGGCACTGCGGCCTTTGGGGCTGGGAGAGGATGTAGTGCATGGGCACTACAATAGCTCCTCTGTGTGGCATCTAGAGGCCTAGTATCATGAAAAGAATTAAATGCTATCGAATATTTCAGGAATTAGGACATCTTTATATAGAGAAGATGCATAATAGGATCGGAGTGCTCACCAGCCAGCACCGACTTGGGGGCTGGGTGTGAGGCTGACGCTGTGATTCTGATACTGACCCTCAACGAGGGTCAGCGGGAGTTCTATTCTTCTGAGATTTCCTATGAGAGAAAACATGAACTCGAATGTATTTTGACTAATTAACGGGCTTTATAGTGTGAATAGCGAGAATCATGAGTTTAGGTAGCTAGATGCAGTGTGTGCACTTAGCCCTGTTAGCTTAGGGATTATACGTAGTAACAGCGAAGGGTCGCTGTGCACTACAGAGGAGGCAGCGTACCATGTTGCAAGCGCCGTTGCACCAAGGCTCATGCCAGCGTCTCCTATAATCATACCAATGGTCATTCCATAAAGAATGGTTAATGCATTCGCCAATGTTATATTCAATGTACATCAATAAGTACTCGCAGACATTTTCACTATTCCTACAACCCTCACTCATTTCACAACGAGCACGACATTGTTGCCGTGATTGTAGGGAGCATTCACTACACTAGCTAAGAAGGAAGAAGCGGGATTTGGAAGTGACCAGTAAACTAGACCACAGTATTGNCATTGCCATAAGGGGCTTATACCACGGACTATGTCGCCGGCAGGTAATCCAGGGAATTCCGTGAGAGACTAGTGGGAGCCAACTACTGATGTCCTGGTGCCGGGGACCAATGAAAGAGTACACATACCAGCAATCCAAACAAGGAGCATTTGTATCCTTTACAGCACGAGAAACGATATGAATTTCCATGAAGAAATGGAGTGATGCGAAGACAACGCACACCAGAGGTGCTGAAAGGAACGAGTAAAAAATTCACTCACTGCCTAGTGCTGCTTTTACGAAAATCTCTTCCTTAGCGAACACATCCACTTAATCCCCAGAAGTAGCAATACTGGCCACAGTTGAAGGAAGAGTTCTTCGAAGCAGTATACAAGGAAGCTGCTGTGTATCAGCGAGCGCGTTGAGCGGGTGTAAGGTCACCTCAGCAGCCAAGGCGGAATCCTTGAAGATTCTGCCACTGGCTGAGCGCTGGATGCATCGGATTGACATCACCTGTCGCGCAGACCTCATCACCTCCTTCGCTATACACGCACACTCCACGCATGGAAGCGAAACCGGAGGGGGATGCGGATATATGCCGGGACAAAGGGAAAGGCTGCCCATCAACTCGGGCGTTTTCCCACGATCCGGTAGTGTCAATAGGAAAGCGTGGAAAATGCCTCATGCCTTCGGAGACCTACGAACTTCAAGTGATCAGGTAGCTTGGAATTTCTTTAGACGGTGTTGGAACGAGTTTTCCACCCCACAGCACGATTATTAAGGTAACGTGATATTTTTGGGTGTCCCGTGCCAACGAACTGAACGCTGGTTTTCTAGCGATGATACAGCAGTTGGTCACATCTTTTCTGAGCAGGTGCAAATGTCAGAGAGGCCGCAACTAATCTGCTGCTTCTCACTCGGGTGCACGGAGAGAGGGACAGGAAGTAAACGGTACTTCGCTCATTCTCGCGCTGCGGTTGGAGATTGTGGCAAGCCAGTGGTTTCAACATTCCTTAATGCCCAAGCCAGTTGTTTCAACATTCCTTAGACTTCCGTGTTCAAACTGATCATCAACTGACGCCATACCTGGAGAAGAGGCTTTAGAATCACACTCCAGTGAAGGAACTCCGATGGTTTTGGCCGCTGACCGAGTAGGTCTTCGGAGTCCCGTACATAAGGGTATCACCAACATCGTTCCTGAAGCACTCTCTCTAGGCCCTATGTTCCAGCGACTGCCCTGTGACATGGCTTAAACTATCGTGCATTTGCTCCTTGGATATGAATGTCGTTAAGATGTTCATATCGAAGGAGCAAATGCACGACATGTTTAAGGAGGGAAGGCGTGCTAAGCACCACAACGGACGGTGCTTTATTGCAAAAGCAGACGGAAAAACGGATGCCGTTTTACTGCGAAAAAAGACTGGGCGTTGACCGCACTCGCTCCAGTCTTCCCTTGTAAAGAGCTGGTATCTAAAGCTCAAGATAGTGCTTAGATGGCCCTGTGATTGGCCACTAAACAATCCACACCCCGCCAGGCTTTCCGATATGTTGACAGATTGGAATGCCCAATCGGCACGAATGAATATGCCGTCGCCCGTTTAAACTGTCAGCAGTTGGCAGGGGCGACGGCATATTCCTTTGCGGGGGGTTTTGACATCAGTGCGCCTCTATGATAGCACGTAAGTGCTTCTCGGCAACTTCAGCAGCTAGATACAGTTTCATCAGTATTGTAATCCAGGCACGGCGAAGGCAGCTGCTACCCGAGTTATTAGTTGGCTATGTCGTGACGCTCGACCGAATTCTCTTAAATACGTTTCCTGAACGGAAACGCAACGTGTGAGTCCTTTTTGGCGAAGCTTAGTGTTGGGCGCCAACATTTATGGCGGCGTTACAACCGCGGGCATTCTGGGCGTTAACGGGGGAATAGGAAGCAGAAGCAGGACGCTACTGCACTATCCCGGGCTCCGAAGTGAACATAGTTTCCTGACTTAGCGGGATGCACCGATAAATGTTTTTCTGCAACGGGAAATACCAAACAAACGTACTGCGCATTATGTGCATAAAAGCTGAATATTCCAGTGATCGACAGAGACGTTTCCCCGCGTCTTCCGTCCATACGCAAACACCGACGGCTAATTAGAGCATTCAACCCTCACTCATACACAAAGATCATTGTTGCTGTATAGTGAGTGGAAGTGTCGGTGAGCCCTTATTGATGTACATCGAGTACAGAATTGATGGATATATTAAATACTCTTTACCAAGAGACGCTGGTATGACTATAGGAGAGGCAGGCATGGGCCTTTGTGTAAGCCGTGTTGCAAAATGCTACGCCGTCTCCTCTCCCAGCCCGAATGGCCGCATTGCCAGCTCTAGTGAGGTTGCAGAACAGAACAATTTTAGAGGAGAACTGAGAAGAAAACTCCCTTAACCTTCGTTAGTTTCCTTATGCTGCTGTATTAGACGATAGCTGATGCCTGCCAGCTCGCTATACTCAGCTCTGCGGCTCTATGGATGAGCCCCACAGTAGTCGTTCAGAGCTGCACTGTACTAATACGTAACAATTAGTCCAAATATCTATACTGAAGTGAAATCTTCGTCGTTATCGTTGACAAATCTCGGCATAGCATGT